TGATATCATATAATACCTGAGTGAAAATATAGCTGCTGAGCAGGCACAGGTATGAAAATTTGTAATAAATATTATATGGACAACAAAATGCATTTATAAATTATTGGTTTTAAATGTTGAGCCTTACTGTGTACCCGTGATAGCTGAAGGGCTAAGTGCTTTGGGTTAATAGTACTGGGTCAAAGTTTCCATACTTTATATAAATACAGACACTTATTATGCAGGATAGAGACATTACTGTGTATACCAGTAATGACTGCAATGCTAAGTGCTTATGGATTAATAGTGTTGGCTCCCAATTACCATACTTTATATAAATACAAACATATACTATGCAAGGTAGAAACATTGCGTGATGTAAGTAATTTCACCATGTCTTGCGACACATAATGAGATTTAACATAAGGTATAAGCGGGTATATATATTTCTTTCTAAGAATATCATAGGTTTCACAGACAAACAGTATGTGTAGTTCACCTTCAATAAAATATTTTTTCTTAAATTTACAAAATAAACAAACCCTATCCTTAAATTCTGTAAAGGATAAAACATTGAATTGATCCTCCCATAGTTCTTAAAATGCTCCAAAGAAATAATTGGTTGTATAATCATAAATAATTCGTAAAATGTGTGTGAGTACCTACGTGAGGCAGCTAGTTTGCTTGATCTGGACTTCACGAACAATTCAGCTGGATTTGGAGATTTTACATAACGAATATTTCACATTATTTACGGTAACATGGACTAGCTATTAACCCATTGCCGGGAGAGCCACTGGTCTCATGAACAGAACCTGATCATATGACATGCTTCAAAACACAGGTCTCATGAACAAAACCTGATCATATCACATGCTCAAAACACAGGTCTCATGAACATACGTTATCATATGGCATCTGCTTCTATGCACAGGTCTCATAAACAGACCCTGATCATATGACATGCTTCTATAGACATGTCTCATGAACATAACATGATCATATGACACCTGCTTCAATACACAGGAGTCGTGAACATACCCTGATCATATGACACCTGCTTCTACACACAGGTCCCTTGAACATACCCTGATCATATGACACCTGCTTCTACACACAGGTCCCTTGAACATACCCTGATCATATGACACCTGCTTCTACACACAGGTCCCTTGAACATACCCTGATCATATGACACCTGCTTCAATACACAGGTCCCATGAGCATACCCTGATTATATGACACCTGCTGCTATACACAGGCCCCATGAGCATACCCTGATTGTATGACACCTGCTTCAATACACAGGAGTCATGAACATACCCTGATCATATGACACCTGCTTCTATACACAGGTCCCTTGAACATACCCTGATTACATGTATATGACACCTGCTTCAATACACAGGAGTCATGAACATACCCTGATCATATGACACCTGCTTCTATACACAGGTCTCATGAACGTACCCTGATCATATGACATCTGCTTCTATACACAGGTCTCATGAACTTACCCTGATCATGACACCTGCTTCTATACACAGGTCGCATGAACGTACCCTGATCATGACACCTGCTTCTATACACAGGTCGCATGAACGTACCCTGATCATGACACCTGCTTCTATACACAGGTCTCATGAACGTACCCTGATCATATGACACTTGCTTCTATACACAGGTCTCAGGAACATACCCCGATCATATGACACCTGCTTCTACACACCGGTCTCTTGAGCATGCCCTAATCATATGACACCCGCTTCAATACACAGGTCTCAGGAACACAAACTGATCACATGCCACCTGCTTCCGTGAACAGGTTTCATGAACATACCCTGATCATATGACACCTGCTTCCGTGAACAGGTCTCATGAGCATACCCTGACCATATGACACCTGCTTCTATACACAGGTCTCATGAACATACCCTGATCATATGACACCTGCTTCCGTGAACAGGTCTCATGAGCATACCCTGATCATATGACACCTGCTTCTATACACAGGTCTCATGAACATACCCTGATCATATGACACCTGCTTCCGTGAACAGGTCTCATGAGCATACCCTGATCATATGACACCTGCTTCTATACACAGGTCTCATGAACATACTCTGATTATATGACACCTGCTTCCGTGAACAGGTTTCAAGAGCAGAACCTGATCACTTGACAGCTGCTCTATTGTAAATGTAGAAAAGAAAAAACGTCAATCGTCTCGATTAACAGCGTCAACCTTGGGCGTAAAAGGCTAAACAGTGTTGAAAATTGAAGTGATGGCACCTGATTTTCGAGAAACTATTTAGCGTGTTCTGAGGATGGTCGTATGAACATTAAACAACTGACAACATGTCGGTTTTTCCTACCGGGTGATGCTTATTGTAAAGAACACACATCTGCAACACACATAATACTGAAATGCAGTATTCGCTCGATCTAACAGTATCAGAGTGTTTAGCACTTCTTTCAGTTGGTAACACAATGATGATCCCACGACGCTTCTCGTACTAGCGTGAGCCACTAGCGGTTTGGAACGTTGATGGTGATGTCATCTATTGACTGCATGGCTTAGACTCTAATATTTACAGACTGGCTTCGGCGTGAAATATTCGCACATTATTTTCAAAGATAGGACGCATTCTTAATCATGAAGTCCCAAAGCACAGACCTTCGCCGTGTCCCGTGAACGCTTTACGCATATGCTAACCAAGAGCCTTCATCAGCAGAGTGGGTGCCTGCATCAACCAATATGAACATGAACCTCGAATAGTGAGTTAGTTTAGTTTTACGCCGCACTCAACAACAGTAGGTACAGATAATATTTTATGTCAGTCGTATATTCTTGATTGGTTGGTCGGTTGGTTGTTTAACGCCGCACTCAGCAATATTCCAGCTATATGGCGGCGGTCTGTAAATAATCGAGTCCGGGCCAGAAAATCCAGTGATCAACAGCATGAGCATCGATCTGCGCAATTGGGAGGCGATGACAAGTGTCAACCAAGTCAGCGAGCCTGACCACCCGATCCCGGAACTACAAATAACCCGCGAAATATGTTATATAAGTATGTGTGTGTGTGAGTATGGTTTTACGCCGCTCAGCAATATTCCAGCAATATCAAAGCGGGGACACCAGAATTGAGCTTCAAACATTTTACCCATGTGGGGAAGAGAACCCGGGTCTTCAGTGTGAGAGTGGAGGCTTTAACCATTAGGCTGTCCCTGTTGTAAAAGACAAAATGTACAACACCTGCATTTCAGTAATAATTATTCCACGGTTCTCCTTGGCTACAAAAACTAAAACAGGGATGTGAAATAACTTTGTTAATGGCCTGGGTGGTGGAATTCGCACATCTATAGCGTTTTTGAAATGGGACATATTTTTAGCGAGAGAGCGATTCTTGTCACTCAACTTATGTCAGGGCATTCCTACAAAGTGAACGTTTTATACTTCAAACTTCTCAACATTACGTTTATTGAATGAGTGGATTTGGTTTAACGGCACTTTGATGAGTTTTTACCAGTGACACCAGAGAGAGAGAGAGAGTTCTATTCAGTAAAGGGGCCACAGGCCCATTATACATCAGGTGTACAGAATATACAATCATTAGAGCACCCTACAACATCATGAGAGCTGTACAATTATACATTTGTGGGTACAAGGACTGAAAGAAATTTATTTCGTTTTTTTCATGGCAAAAAATATATATTTTGCTAGACAATTTATATTATAAGTATTCTTTGATGTAAACAACTGAGCTAATTTCACTTCAGATGGATATATGTGATAATATTTAGGGAGGATATCATTTCTTAATTTCCCATAAAAAGGGCATTCCAGGCAAAAGTGATATTCATTTTCTATATTAGGTATGATACAAAGCGGGCACAGGCGATCCTCCCTTTTAAGACATAAATGTTTACAGTACTCTATCAAATTGTGGTTTGAGCAGCGAAATCTACTTAAGAAGATTCGAAACTGTTTTACACTAACACTATCGATATAGAACTCAAAAGCTACACCTTCTTTGAGCCTACAATAAAAATCCAATTTCGAAACAAGTATAATACCAGATGACCACAACTGGTTATCTATATCAATACATCTTTGCTTAAATAATGATATGAAAGTAGAGATATTTCCAACACTTTGACTGGCCCACACATTGCCAAAACCATAACTGTACAAAAGAAATTTCACCTTAAAAGCCCAACAATCTATGCCTTTTTCAGCAAGACAATACTGATACTCATATACCTTATTTAAGATTACATTGTGACACCAGTTGTCAGCTTGATGTGGGAACACTGCCCTAAGTAATGAAGGTCTAAGACCTTTGTGGCGAGACCCTCGAGCACGTGTTGGTGTTGACAATACTACCAACAAAATTGGGGCAAATCTGATTCGAACCCAGGATCATACCTATCTGGAATCAGTGGGACACTGCTCTACCAGTGACTTATGGCACAGACTAAAGGACAGCCGGTGTCCGCAATCTAATGCTTAACACTGAGTACTCGTGTGAAAGTGTCTTTTTGTATCAAACATCAGCACAAATCACTGAACGATTTTACAATTTTGTCGAGGTGCAGTATTTGAAATGTAAAAGGTACAACTAACCAGCTTCAGTTGCTGAGAAATTATCGATGCCATTTGAATGAGGTCGTGGTAACCGATGATGTCACTATGGTCTGGAAAACGCTGTGATGAAATTTCAACGAAGCGATAATTCCAAGGAGAGATAAATTTGATGTAACCCATCCGTATCGTAGGCGAACGTGGGTTTTGGGTGGTATATTTTATTTGTGTATTCCAATCAGGATAACATTCCTGAGTAATATCCAGTGGCATGGCATACCACTAAATTCACTGTTAGTATCAAAAGAGACGTAAGGGAAGACACGGAGGTTATGGAACACGGGGTTCTATTCAGCAGTGATACAGTGTCTCAAGCATATACCAAGCTATGTCCTCACTTAAGACAAATCAAAACAGTAAAAACAGACAAATCAAAATCTATATATTTATGTTTATTTCGTTTCTTACAAGTATTTACCTCACACTTTCAAAATCAACAACTGAATGCACGCCCTCACGATCCACGGTGGGCAGTTATAAAACCATTCCTTGATCGATTATCACCTCAGTTTTCCATGCTTCTGTCCTGCTGTCAGACAAGCTTCCCTAACATAATCCAACATCCATGCTCATGCCATAAGACTGTGAAATTGTGGAGATACTAGGCTCAGCACAGAGCCACATACAATACAAACATCCCTGGTGATGAGAACACTACGGTCAGCAGAATCTGATCACACAACATCAACGTAAAGCTGATAATGTGGAGATACCTGACTGATGAACAATGAATGGACAATGAAATACTGAATGATAGTCAAACCTTTGGTCATGCTTAGAACGTGAATGTGTGGGATGCTAACTGAATACATTTCTATCTACAAAAGAGTTCTTCCAACTCTTGGTTTTATATTGCACATTTTTGTAGGGCTTTTCACCCAGTTAAACCATTCCTACTGAAAAAGATTTCATGGAGGGAAAGTGTGTACTTGTTACTGAAAATCATACCATGTTATAAATACAAATCAGCACATTTCATACCAAACAGTCCAACATAGTTGCTTGAGCTAAATGAAAGGTGGTAAATAGTAAGAAATAAAACAACAATCATAACAAAGTGTTTTCTTTAAATAAATAGTCAAGATAAAATGGCATCTAAAAAGGGCACATAAGAATGCCTCTTTGTAACATTCTCGGAAACTGTAAATGGCTGTCATGCATAAGCCTTTCAACTAAATTAAAACAAAATAAAATAATTACTTCTGATTTAGTGCTGTTAAAATTTCAAAGAAATCATTTGCAACGTTTCTGATTTAGAGTTCCATTCTACACAAGAAAACAAGGAAATGACCACATAAGAATTTCAACTGAACATAACTTTTTCTCAGCGCACATACTGCTGTAATAATATTGTTTCATCACAGTTACAAAAAACCTGTTGACAAACCAGTGTCAAAATAGGTATAATACACACAGAGGAATTGTAAATACACTTCGATTCAAAATCTTTCAACATCATAGGAAAAGTTCACGAGTAAGTTAATGCCATAAAATGCAAGTCCTTGATCCCAAACCTAAATCCTAATGCCAGAAGATCCTTATATAATTGTAATAGAATGCATGTCTAAATCTACAGTTTGGTCAAACCTAGGGTAATGTGACAACAGAAAATTTTGACTTCTGGTATCTCCGAGTGAAATGATGATGTTGGTGAGAATTGTTCTGAACACAGAGACCCACATTGAAGTAGGTAATGGCAGTTACTGCTACGGACATGAAGAGGAATGGATTGTTTATCTCCCTTTATCGGATCCTTGTGAAAAGGTTCAAGACAGACTTGGATTCCTGAAGAAGAAAATATATATTTATTATTCCTAATTGAACATTGAGATCGTATATTGGTGAAAAGAGGAAAGAAAGATACATATGGTTATAGGTTGCTGAGAATCTTGTTATCACAATTTTCAGCTGTTTCATACTATATGATCATTTATGCAAAATGCTACATTTCTTGAAAAAAAGACATATCAGACAATTTTTGTTATTGCTGTATAAGTGACTAGCTTTGAAAAATAAAATGGCAACATTCCAGCAATCAATTATGATAAAAAATTCCTCAAAATATTTGAAACTTTTCAAATATCTTTAAAAATGAATCAGCATAAACAGGACAAAAAAAACCTAATCATGACAATTTTCTGAGACATTTCACTTTTATTGAAGAGATTCCTGATGGAAGCCAAATAGTGTGTTCAACAGGAGATCATTTTACCTTTGTTGATCTAGTTTTGCTAAAGACATTCCAGAAGCGAAGTGTTTCATCCCCTGCCCCGGTGACGATAGCTTCCCCATCTGGAGACATAGCCTGTAACAAATTGAAATACACATGTAAGTCAATGCATCTTGCAAAGGATCCAACAGCAACATACATTCACACCACCACAATGACATGAGCCTAGAGTTTTCATGTCTTAATTACAGTATCAAAGTTGAGGGATAACAGTTCTTCAATTAATTTTTACCATGGTTATTGTCTATCAATATAGAGAAAAAAATTGAAATAAACAAAATTAAAAAAATTCACATTTGCTTTGATTTCCACTTTTTATTCTTGGAATTCAGCAGAATTCAAAACCCAATATCAAGAACAAATGTCTTGCCTAAGGCATAACATATTGAAATTGTATGACCTTAAAATACAGGTCACGAAGACTCCAATGTAAATATCTTCTGCATCAAACATCAACTAATTATGCAGCAGTCATGATGACAGCTGCTGAGTATAGTTGATATTGTAAGACATATTCATGGACACTCCCTGTACAGAGCCACAAAGTTCTAATATGAAATGCATCAGTCATATAATGTTTGTATTTCTAAGGATTGTTTGCATCTCTGCTTTGACTTTAGAAGTCATTTACATGTTAGATAGCAAGAATTTCCATTTGCATATGTGGAAAACGCTGTGTCTGTTCTGCATGACGGTAAAAACAATGCAATCAAATGTGTTCAATTTCATTCGAACATTGATTTTGTTTTGTAAGTTAAAGACGAATAAGCAGACTACTTACCAGATATAGCACTCTGTAAGAATGTCCTGTCAGTTTGGCAATCTGCACTAGTGACGGATATTTCCAGACTAGGATTTGGTTTTGTGAGTACCCATGAGTGCTGACCTGAAAGTGAATAATCACAAACCTGAAGAAACTGGAGCAGATGATTTTTTATTTAATCAAGGATTCGTCAACACATGCAGAGTCCAATTTTTGGGCCCCATGAGTGCAGAAAATGTCTGAAAAATCCTAAACAGGAATTTGAAATTTCCCAATGAAATTCAGGAAAATAAAAAAAATAATAAAAAAATTAAAAAAAAATGCATAGTTTCGGCCAAAACTTGCACTTTAGAACCTTCACTAAATGATTCAGTGTATGTATTTACCCTTACAGTATCCTTCATGATCATGGCCTGGTGATAAATATAGACTGAGAATAAACTGATATTACCATTACCAATGTAAAAACAACCTCAGTACATGTTCCCAATTACATCAGTAACAATCGGCAGAAAATTAGTCTGCTCAGAGTTACTTCCCTTCTACTCCAGTTAATGTCCAACTTACCAATTCATTTGAGTGTTTTGACCATGCCAGATTACAGACTTGTGACCCTGTGTCTACACACTGTAGAGGCTGACCAGTTAGAGTGTTCCAGAACCTAATACATCGGTCAGCTGTTCCACCACCGCTGGCCAGCAGACCGTGTTGATGCGGGGACCATGCTATGGCCTTAACTGCTGCTAAATGTTCAGTGTATGTTTGCACTGGATTCACACTTGTCATGTTCCAAACAAACAGTTTATTATCATTTCCACCTGATGCTAAGTGTTGGTGATCTGGGGACCACTTCAAACCACAAACCTGGAATAAAGATTATACAGTTTACAATTCACCATTAAAAAACAAGAAAACTTGTATACACAATGCTCAACAATTTTTGAAGGAAATATAAGTACAAATGAGATATATTCACACCAAAAAGACGTACACAGATGTGACCACATATTTTACAATGTATACTGATTTGGGTGGAAATTTCAATGGAAGAGGGTCACTATTATTTTTTGCAGTATGGCTGGTAGTTGGATGTGAAGGTTTATCTTTACGAACCCCCTGGAACCTTTTATTTATCTGTAATGGGCTAGATGCCCTTACCTCCTGTCTGTGTCCACCAAGCCGACGTTCAGGGGCAACACTGGGTGTTCGTATATCCCGCTGTAAGATGAGACGATCTCGACTGCCAGAGGAGAGAATGTCACCATTCCATGCCAGCGAGCCTAAACCAAAATATATTCACATTCACAAAGAGTCTGATAATACTAAGTAAAGAAATTCAACACAAGTTTTGGTCTGACAAGAGATGTGCAGCTGCAGTATTCACACAAATCATTGCATGACAACAGGAGGGTTCTTCTACCTACCCACTCTAGCGCTGTGTCCTTCTAGAGAGTTGATTTTCTTGTTCACGGACACATCCCAGATCTGTACATAGCCCTTGTGTGTCCCCACTGCAACTAGATTGCCCTGCAGAACATGTTAAAAACAATGTTTACATTGTCATATTGAAATTCAATTTACAATAAAAACTGACATCATCAATGTTATAAAGGAACAAAATATAATCCATCCATTTCAACCTGTCCTTTTCAGTAACAATGTAATGTGCAACACAGATTATTTGTAAATTCTCCATATCTGTTCACATTTTGCCGATATCTCTGTGTTTGCTGTTACTGTTAACATCAACAGTTTCACCTCCATCATGAACATAGGGAATTCCCACAATGCTGGTCAGATTATATGACCAGACACTTTCATGTTTTGCCAGTATGCTGTAGAGTAACACAAGGCTAAGAGTCAGTGCAGATAGGTATTGAAGGTATGAATACAAAAGCATCAAGAAAGTATCTAAAAAGGTTTCTAATAGCATCCATTCATGAGAATATGTTTCAGAATTCAGGTATTAGTTCTACAAGTATCTTCCCATGTGCTATGACTTACGCTGACTCTCTCTGACCAGGACACGGAGGTGACAGTGTCATTATCTTGAGACAAATCACACAATCGGGTCACCTGTAATACAATATACCAAACATAAGATTGCAACTTGTCACAGTACATGTAATTGCTTAAACAATATGGACTCCCTTGAACTAAAAGCATATACATTATACATATGCAAGTGACTAGATACACAAAATATGAGGACTCTTTCAACCTTTTCAGTGAATTCTGCAATCCCAAACCAATCCAAAGCTTGAAACTGAAGGTACATACCTGTTTGTACATTACTGGATGATCCGATGAACTCTGGATTTTAACAAAAACACTGGGAGATATATTTAATGGGCAATATTTGTGTTTGTAGTCTTGTTAGTGTTAAGTTTAGATGGTTAAGTGCTATTCTATCATTAAACAGGGTGAATAGAACGATATTACAACAGGGTCAAAATAAATAAACACAGCAGGAACATAATGAAACAAAAATGATTCTAAATATTTCAAGATTCATAACTACACAATGCAAAATTAGGAGTGGGGATATTTGAAACAGTTCATCCACAGGCAATAACACAAAACTTGGTATGTACCTTAGTTCTTCATACTCATTATTTGACTGAATCTATCAAGATACCGACCGACATAATCCCTTGTGGAAAACATTGAAGTCTGCCAACTACACCTAACAGTATGTTAGTGAAATCTTTTATTGAAAGATTTATTCAGAGCTGTTGCTGGACCAGCAATGTACACCTAATACATGTCAGAATTAGACACTTGTTAGGAATTCCCACTCAACCAACGAAAATATATAACTGGTGATGCATTGCAAAAGTTACTCCACTCTCTCATTTAAGTTTATAGATTACCACTTTTAATGACATTTTTCACAAAGGTCTTAATACTTGTAGAGGAACAGCTGTGAATGCTATATTAGAATCACAATCTTCAATGAATACATGGATGGCTGGTTGGTAATTGAATAGTGACATGTAAACGCTAAAGGAAAGGCATGTGTATTTTCAGGCTGGTGTATTCATGGTTTTCATCAGCTATACATGTATTACTGTGTGTATATTTACCTTGCCATTAACCTGTTCAATGTAAACCTTGCCATTAACCCGTTCAATGTAAACCTTGCCATTAACCCGTTCAATGTAAACCTTGTCTAATACTTCACAAAGAACTTTTTGTTGTCATAATCTTAATAACTGGCACATGTTTTACAACTTAATACAATGTGCGTCATTCCCACTAATAGTTCAGAGTCACATGTAGGGTTGGTAGTTAGGCAGACTTCATTGCTGTTCAAAACTACATCTGTTAGACAAACCTGACTGGTACATGCACTCCAGAGATACACTGACGTCCCCAACCCAACACTCAGGACGTTCTGAGATGACCAATCAACCAGGTTCAAGTAGAAGTCATCCTGAAGCTCCGGGGCATCTAGCACTTTGAAGGGAATTTTGGATATCTTCCTTACAGCCTGAAAAATTGGAATATTTCAGTACTGTACTCTCTGCAAACATATCACAGATGGCAGATGGTGGACCTGGTGATTAAGCCTGACTTACAGAGGGAAGTTTTCTTGTCCACTGTTATGCAGAAACATAAAAATACTGATTACAATCCGTACATTAAAGTATAACAATAAATGAGAGAAGAGCTCTTTCTCATACACTGTTGAAACTTACAGTGTTGGAGATAGTTACACGTTCATTGTCCCTCTGGACATCACACCTCTCCCCAACACATCACATGGTTATGGTCCGTAATTGTGAAATCATATGTATGAACATACAGGTCTCCTAATCTGCTGGTATTGTAACATATTTCAAGTCTTCTGAACAAGCCTCAAACAAACTCAAATTTTCAACACTTTGTTTAATACTGTGATGATTGTTCTTGTGTCAATATAATATTGATTATCTAGCCTCTAGTCTTTGTCCTTGTTTCAGTCAGCAACAGCAAATATTCCAAATTAGCCAGGGCCTGATGTTTTCTGTTTGGTATGATCAGATGAAACTAGATTATATTCTGGGACTTGGTTCTACTGATACAAGTATAGGCTTCACATGTTTTTTAACTTATATGATTCTAGAGACTGATGTCAATATTTGAAAACATGGAACATAACTTGTCTTATCAAACAAACAGACCTTGCGTGGAGAACGAAGGAGCTTTTGACTTTTACTTCCAACAGGTGATAGAGAGTAAGGTGAAGAGTCGCATGAGTCTCCACCTCGCCGCGGAACATGGTACTGTAATCAATCAACAGGTACATTGTAATCATCATACAGACACAGTAACAATTTGAAGAAATATACTGAGAACTATACACAAGCATTGACAGTCAAGGAAACATCTTTAGCATTTACCTTGGTTTGAAAGATTCATCTTAATTGTAGCTAGTAAATACACTCTCACCATCATTAATGTTCTTTGCAGTTTGGAAGATAGCACATAATTTTCTTAAGTGCTATCACTGTAAATGACAAAAAACTCAATTATAGCTGTATAATAAACATATGCAAAATCAAATCTTACCCGAAAGAGATTTTTGCTTTCTTTTGGAGCTAGTATTCTTCTCTCATCTGTTTGTTGATCCTAAACAAAATTACAAAAAAGAATGAAAACTAGCTGCATTATAGATCATGCTTAATGACAATTACATACATACTAAAATGTTTATCTATAAATGGTAAATTTAAGTTGCTACAACAAGTAGAAAGAAATCTTTCTACACAGGAAAACTGTTTTTATCAACAAGAGAATGTTTCTTCTATTTTTTTTAACATGACAACCTTCTATACTTACCTGATAAACATGACGGGTGAATGAACAATGTAATTGTGATAATGAAAACAAACCTTTAAGTCATCAATGCCAGCAGAGAGTAGTTCATTCTTCAGCAAACACGAATATGCTAAACCATCTTTGCTCGTTTCTGTACTGGTTTCTTTTCCTTTCCTTGTTTGGCTAGGGGACTGAACTGTGTTTTCCTGAAATAGTTATGAAGGTAATTGTCATGATCATTGTATTAAACTACAGGGGAGCAAGCATGAGATACCAAAAGTATCACACTGTGTACTGGTAGTCAAAAGACTCTTCATATGAAAAACCCTTGTGAATGAAATATTAAATACTTACCGGCAGAACATTGAAGTTGATGTGCCAACTTGCACCAGCTCGACTTGGGATGAAACGGTCTCCATATTTCTCTTTGGAAGGGGATGCTACTGGGCTTGTGCTAACAGGCTGAAAAAATAATAATTAAAATAGAATGTGAGCATGGTGTTGGGCTGCATGAGAGATCTTTGTCACCTGATTGGTAGTAATCATGCTAATTTTCACAAATAGCTTAAGTGCTTTTAAAATGTTTAGAGCTGTAGTGTCCATATTATAACAGGAAATTTTATTAAAGTTACATCCTTTGGTTGCTATTACCAAACACAGAATGCTGGATTCTTTGGGGTGTTGATTGCCTTGATTTATATCATATCTAATTGCAAAAGACTGATAAAAATCAATACGAGTACACAACATTCCTGCAAGCTTCCAGCAGTATCCCTGGTTCACCTGCAAAACGTGGACTATTTTAAAAATATTTGACAGTCACAGATTCCAGACATCCTTGAGTACACTGATGTATGTTATTGGGCCTGTGACCATGGTCATGATGGTTACTTACTGCTGTGTCCACTTAATTGACACATTCCATCCCATCTGTAATTGTAACCCCAAAACTGTGTTTCAGGATAATTTGTTCATATTCATTTACCGTGTATATTACTGATTTTTCAATTTAGGTCTGGACAAACTGATTGATTGTAATAAACGGCATGTCGATGAGCAATTATGAAAAAGAAAATCAGCAAATAGTAATTCACTAACAGTTTCAATATTTCTGTTGATATGGTTACCACTACAACAGATAACAGATCATATTTACCATAAACATAATAAACATGAAAAGATAACATAAACTCACTGATGAGAATGGCGATAACTGTCCATTTTGTTGTCTCAGAAGTCTCTTCTCATAATCAGGATCCATGTTCACTGCAGATTCTCGAGTCTAGAGAGTGTTTAATTGCCAAGCAAATGGCAGGGTTGTCACTTTATGTTCTTGTCACCATTTGATCTTCGACCTGTAGATCATAATGAGACATAGCATGTACACTGTTATGTAATAAACAATAAAATAATATATAACAAATACATGTATTCAGCACTTTAATCCCATTTTCATTAGTGTTGGGAATTGGTTGAAATCTCTCTCTGATGATTGGTTCTTAACTAACAAGCAATCATAGAAAAAGATTGGTCACGGTAATTTTCACTTTCCGTATCAGATTATTACTGCAGATAAGTGTAAAGAAAAAAAACATGTTGTTATCTTGTTTTGTTTTTTGTTATATTTAGAAACTGCACAAGTTGCATTTGCAAATTTAACATCCAATGTAAAATTGTGCATCTTGCTACTTTGATGACTAATATATCATTAACATGAACTTCCCAGAGTGTTCAAGATACATTCAGTCACGTGTTTCAAACACTAAAACAGTAGTCCAAATAGGGCTGCAACGAATACACTATGTGGCAAATATGATACATATCATGAATATTGGGTAACGATTAGGAATAGTTATTCACGAATACAGTATTGTTGTTAAGTGATTGATGTACAATATGGTACGCCCATGTTGACAGTTTTGATTTGTCACAGCAATAACCAGTGATCTCATGACACTCAAATTTGATATGTAATAGTTATAGTCGACAGTACCATGTGCGGCCTTGGCAAACTAACATGACTTGCGCACTGCAAGGCTAGTACATATTCAATCCTTGCATATCTCACTTTCCAAAAGTACACAAGGGTTCAAGTAAAACATGCTCCCTTAAAAAAATCGTAAATATTCATTAGTATTCGGTTCTGGTGACCACGAATAACGAATTGAATTCATGAAGGGCTACGGTTCGATTCACCGAATATGCGAGTGAATCGTTACAGCCTTAGTTCCAAAATTGTTTGTATTTGATTATGAGCAAAGCTGATTGATTGCTCGGTTGTTTGGTCACTGTTACCAGCCTTCGATTATTTCAATTAATCGGAACACCACTAACTTTCATTCAACAAAAACTGATCACTGTCAATGTTTAATTATATATTTATATTTGATATGCCTAGATATCTGTTGGGTTCATTGTCAGCACATGTACCCAAAAAATGTCTGTACCTTTTCCCCAGCTGGTAGTTAAAGCACCAGCAGGCTTCAAGCACATGGTTCTATGATTGTATTGGACTTGTGACCACGGTCCAATTGCACTGACGATCTTAACGCTACAATTATTGTAAATCATAAAGATCGCGATCTTGGGCTTCGGCTACAATCGCCATCCACTTGCATAAAGCGATTGTAAGCTAAGATCATTGTAAGTTACAATCGAAACTTACAGTTGGTCCGGACCAATTGTAAGGAGCTAAGATCATTGTAGTCTGTGACAAAATGGTGTCTGTTTCACGCAAATAATCAGCTTTACGTTTGGAGATTGCTTTTATATTGCATAAAACTGTGTGGTTCGCACTTCAACTTCAACAACACGGAGAATGCACAACTGATTTAACGTCGGCTTCATTATTTTTTGCTGTAGTGAACCAAACAACTATTGAGTCGATATCACATAGTACTAGTCCCGCCCGTTTCAATCTTGGAATAAGTGTGAAACAACATACCTTTTTGATAATCAAGGAAAGGATAATAGCAAATGGTGTCTGCGCGGGATTAGCAATGGCTGTGACCTTTTCAAAAACTCAAGGGCAGCTAATCTTAGTTTATACGCAAGATCAGAGTGGTTTCCCTTGGTATATCATGCCGTTGCCGTAGAGTCTGCCATGCCCAATGTATTTAATATTGTGCATGTGACATCGAAGAGCTCCACATATATTTCTTTTCGGTCACATTAGTGTCAGTGATTTTGTCTTAGTTTATCGTTGAAATAATCCACAATTAGATGACGTGCAAAATCAAGTTTCTTTCTCATTCTTAAATTTGAAATTCAGTCGGACGAGAGACGAGGGGTTTTATTCTATGCATATAAAACATTATACAAGTACTCATCAAACAAGAAAAAGCACTTGCTGAGGTATTTGAATACACCATGTGGCGAATATGATACGTTTCATGAATATTGGGTAAAATACGAATATTTATTCACAAATACAATATTGTAGTTAAGTGATTGATGTACAATATCGACACCCATGTTGACAATTATGATTTGTCACAGCAATAACCAGAGATCTCATGACACTCCAATTTGGTATGTAAGTAATAGTTATGGTCGACAGCACCATGTGCAGTCTTGGCAAACTAACTACTAACTGAAAATTTCAGTTTGAGGCATTTCGGTTCATTCCAAGCCACGCGGTTTCTTGTAGATTACGGAAAAAAGACGAGTGTGCCAAATGGCATCGGGTCCATTCGGCAATTGTCCGTAGATTAAAATCACGAGACACCAAGTCTACCCGTAACCTTCGTAATTGTCCGTGACCTATTCGACTCTTTCCGTTCATTTCCGTGACGTCACAGGAATGACTCGATAAATTTGCACACTGTGTAACAGTGTGGACGTAGCTCAGTCGGTTAGCTGTCGAGCTAACAATCCGAAAGTCGCGGGTTCTCGTACGACGGGTTCTCACAAACTGGTTGCTTGTCTTAATGACACGTGACCCACGGCAGAGATTGTCCTCAAGAGAAGTTGTGCTGTATTCTAAAGGTGCTCCAAAATATGTACATTTTAAGAATACTATATAAACTGTGGCAATAGTATTATTAACATCACTGAAGTCAGGATTGCCGGGAGATTACGGTAATCAAATACTTGTTGCATTGTTTCATGCATTATGAAAATAGATAATGCTGTACATATATTGCCACACTAGGGTCCATTATTTAACAGTGAAAGAGAACAGTGCTAACAGATGACACGTTGAACCAAGGAGACTCTTTGCATCAAGTTCTGGTTAAAATGGTTAAGAATGGACATTCAAATACTGGCTTCTAACTAACTCTATCAAAAAGCAAATATCCTTTAACTGAGAACGTTATTCCTGGATCTGCTTAGACTTAGAGATGGTTGTAGTAATTTTGAAACCGATGCAAGTTTAGTACAACATATTGAGATGTCTGCCCATTTCACACGCAATGCAGACTATGACAAAGCGTTAACTGCAAAAGCAAAATAGTAGTCTCATCTTTTCCGAGTACTTGAACTAACCAAACACTGAGAGGCGTTGCTTCGCTATCGAATGTAACTTCAGAGTGTTTCTGTTTTTCAAGTTAACTCACTGCGAAAACGAGCGAAAAATAGATATAACACATTACTAAATAATTTTTTAAAAGTGCTCTTCTCATTGATCGAAATAAATTCAAAATGCACACCTTATTAACTTACCAAAAGGATTATTTGTTAATCCAGATGTGCTAAAATCAAAAATTATTCCTACGTTGACAAAGTTTGTTGTTCTACTCCAGCAAGATGGCGTCGGTTGCAATGCATGATGGGAGTTAGTTGTTCATCGTGAAATATGTCTAAATCTACTTTACAACTGAAATGCTTGAGTTTGAATATGTTTTACTTTATAAGAAATGTACAGCTTATATTTTGATAAAAATAAATGCTATTTGTATTTTCGAGCAAAAGCACTTCCTTAGCAACCAAGGGTGGCAACGTTATCATTATCCAAGATGGCAGCAGCAGGGGAAGGGCGCAGTGAAAGAACCCCAGAACGTTGTTCACCAAAATGCAATATTATGTGAAACTATTAGAAAGGAGCAAAGGCATCAGAAGATTTACACGAACTACAGTGTAAATCCATACAAAAAGAGTAAGTAAAAGATTCGCAACTACTAAAAACACCACAGTATATTTGATTGAAATTATTGATGACTGTGTGAAGAACTTCAAGAAGGACCATCACAATATGCCCTGAATAAGTATAGGTGGGTCTCCTATTCTCTCGGGTTTCCTATTCTCGCGGTAAATACGTTTTTCTGCCGAAATCGCCGATACGTTACACTTAGCGGTTGTTTACATCACCGACTGGTAACTATATGAAGTGGACCAAGTCGGTGAATGATCAAAATCTTGCAAGTTGCAGTGTCACGAATATTGGGGAGTTTATACCAACTTCGATATAATCATTACTTTTCCCCGCCCTTTCCGGCAGGATTGCTCTTACATACACTCAATAACGTTAATTCCTGGTAATACCGCGAGAATGGGAGAAGCCTCGTTTCGTCAATGGCGGATGGCATTGTTTATCACCGGGCTCACGAGTGGTAATTCACCTGATGTATCTGGCAGATGTTAGAGAAGTCCCTTCATTTAAAAACAACAAGCAGGAATACGATAAGAATTGTTTGTGTAAATTTTTCAGCCAATATCCGTAAGTACCGCGTGAATAGGAAACACCTTCCTAGATCATAGCTCTTCATAATGCTTGCTATCTAGACTCTATATTCAAACTACTGATTCGCTATTACATTGAGAGAATACAACCATATATATTCACTGTCAAGTTAAACTTTATCATGTCTCAAGCATTATCACCTGAGTGACCCCCCCATCTTCAAGAAAGGTAACAGGCACCTTGCCAGCAACTGTCGTCCAGTTTCGCTTACTTGTGTCTGTGCGAAGAACATATTATTTGCCGACACTTAATGTCACATCTGGAGAAGTATAATATCTTAACTAACCTACAGCACAGCTTCAGTTCGGGGCACTCTTGTGAATCTCAGTTACTACTTACATCCCGTGATATTATGTCAGTGTATGACATGAAACAACAAGTCGACCTCACCATACTAGATTTTTGCAAAGCATTTGACACTGTAGTCCCCCATAAGAAGCTGTTATACAAACTGGAGAGTGAGGCATCAATAACAATTTATTAACATGGATCAAGTCATTCTTAACAACAAGAACCCAATGCGTTGTAGTAGAAGGATAGAGTCATGTCTTGAAACCCCATCGCAGCTCTCGGCTTATAATTAATTTACAGTGATTCAAGTATCATTGTTTATTGACTGGCAAAGCTGGTGTTTTAAGTGTGCAATTTCCCAGCTTTGGAAAACTCTTTTACCGAAATGTTAACCTTTTAATTCAGTTTAATACTTATCTTCTAGGATATATAATATAACTGACCACATGATGAGAATGCCAGTATATTTTGTACTGTTCTCTTGTGCAGGGTTTGCTTCTAGGCTATTGCTTCTAGGCTATTGCATTTAAAGAAATGATCAAACATACAGTTCTCTACACTGTTACTTCAGAGGACCCTTGTATTTCCTGCAAGGGCCCTTAAACTAATAATTAGGGTTCTAGGACCCCCATGTTTGTGAGTTGAGGTAAAAACCTGTGTACCATAAGTTATATTGTCCCTCAATGACATAGATCTATCTACAATGACAAGCAGCAGTTTTCTCTTAATAGTCCAGTCAAAATGTGACAAAACCTCCAAATAATTGGTACAGAAATGATTTGAGTGTTTTCAACATGTTTAAGTTATAACTAATGAGTATAAAAAAGTCCTCCCTTGAAATATGAAGCTAAGTCCTATTTTGGGGGGTAAAAGGTTTAAAAATTGAAATCTTCAGTAAACAATTTTTAAAATCTCATATTGAGACACAAATTTACCTTTTTATATATATATTTTTAAAGAGTACTCAAGGTACTACCAATAGATGAATTAGAAAAGTCAAATGATGTTATCCGAAGTCCTATTTTGGGGTAAAAGTTAAAAAATTGAAATTTTCAGAGAATATTTCAACAACTTCATATTGAGACAAAAATGTACTTTTTATGGAGAGAACACAAGGCATTACTAATACATGGGTTATAAAAGTCAAATAGATGTATGCTAGATCCTATTATGGGGTAGAAAAATTGAAAATCTCATACTGAGACCCAGGTGTACTTTTATATGCATATTTTCAGAGGACACATGGAACTACAAATACATGGACTGGAAAAGTCAAATTTTGAATAAAACCATAGATAAAAGACTTTTCAGAGCATATATTTTCTATTTTCAAGGGTAAAATAAACACAACTTCAGGAACATGCAATTTAGTTCCTCTTTTTGCCTCATCAAAGTTATGATTAATCTGAAAGGGAACTATCCTCTATCAATATGGAGAAGCTGTTATATATCTAAAACCAACACATATTCATTCATAAACTTTGAACAGAGAGAGAGATCAAGTTATGAACTTGAGCCCTGTGCTATTTTAAGATGTTGAAATGTGTATTTATTGTTTCCTTGCCAATACGTTTGACTTTGTCCATGGTAGTATACTTGAAGCGGATATATCCAAACCCAATAGGAGTTCAGTTAAGAAACTAAGTGGTGCCTTTGCTCTCCAGGTAGTTGTTCATGACACTACGTTTACTAAAAGAAGAGTGTATTTATTGCTAAAGACTGAAATCCACATCAATATATTTCTGCTGTAACCTCATGGAACCGATTGAAGTACAGGGGACCAGATCATGCATGATGGAAGTTCCATGTCAACATATGAGTGACAAATTCTCACAGTAAATCCATTACAGTGTCCTATGTGAGATATTATCTGTCGAATACAACCAGCTGACTTCCACGTGAATATGAATCTGTGTAGATTACTTGACTCTGGTTAACCTAATATATGTGGCTTGTCTAGACCGCTCACACACACGTAAGTTGAGCAAATACAGCTTTGAGTCTGGGATCCAGGTTAACCCATGCTTGTCGTAAGAGGCGACTAATGGGATCGGGTGGTCAGGCTCGCTGACTTGGTTGACATGTGTCATGGTATCCCATTTGCATAGATCAATGCTCATACTGTTGATTACTGGATTGTCTGGTCCAGACTTGATTATTTACAGACCGCCGCCATAGCTGTAATATTGCTGAGTGCAGCGTAAAACTAAACTCACTCACTCACCCATACATAGTTGTACACAATGAACAAAAGTGCGTCCAGTAAGGGGTAAGCACAATAAAGAGAACAGCAAAAGGGTATCGCGGAACACAGGGAACTTCAAAACTTCTAGTCTGATATATTTTCACTGTCAGTGACAACTGAAATAACATTTTCACTCACTACAAGGAGCGTAAGTTAATGATTTTTCCAATTTTAAGAAAAAGATGTTTTTCAGTAAAAATATGTGTTATATATCTAATTTATGTGAATCAGTTTCAAGTTTTTTCATGAAGATTTCAGTCTGTTTTTTAAATGATTTCAAATCAGATAAAAAAAAATACCAGTTATACTATAAATATTTGCAAGGGTTCACCCAATTCTGCTCACATAAGTGGGGCGGTGGGGTAGCCTAGTGGTTAAAGCGTTCGCTCGTCATGCTGAAAACCCGGGTTTGATTCCCCAAATGGGTACAATGTGTGAAGCCCTTTTCTATTGTCCCCCGTGTGATATTGCTTGCATATTGCTAAAAGCGGCGTAAAAATATATTCACTCACTCTGCTCACATAATAATATGTAGTTGCCAGTTAAAGTTAAAAGAGAACAAACTTATCCTTCAATCACCTTTTGAATTTTAAAAAAAATTAATAGCATAGTAAATATAAATGGTATCATATTTTCCTAATCTATCATTCTGGCATATGTTTCTTCAAGTTCTGCTAAATCCTGATACAGAATGTCCCATTTATCACCAAGGTGTGTAGTCTTACATGACCGCAGTGCATATATATAGTTCTTATTATGGGAGCAGAATCACCCCAGTCCTCCTCCTCATCACTTTTAATTGTAGCTTTTAGCTGTCTTTTTAATCCTTTATCTATTTGGTGAACTATTGCCTAATCTAGTTTGAGTTTTATAAAAGATATAACCTTTCCTTTCCATTCTGCTACTTCAAGCTATTGTAAACCAAGGGGAGATAACTCTCATTTACTTGTTTCCAGTGTGCTGGAGTGTCCAAAATCCAAGTTCAAACCTCATGTCATAAATTGTTTTCAGTTTTAATTTTCATTATTTACTATTCTGTATGCTTCAGGTGTATGTTTTGCAGGATTTTATACCATTTTCTGGACTTAGTTTCAGATTTTCAAAAAATAATTGAAAAATACTATTTTTCATAGTTTTTGCCCTCAAAAAGACACTTAGCATCAACATCCAAGGGAGGACTTTTTATATATTGTTTCTATAACTATTGTAAACGATATAAACACAAAACCATATCTGTACCAATTGTTTGGAGGTTCAGTGTTTTTTCCACTAATTTTACTGGACTATTACACGTAATCCATTAACAAGTTCAACTTTGCACTGACAATGCACGAAAATTCATTATACATTACTGATAATAAATTTTGAATGCATCTTAAATTATTTGTCTTTCTTTTCAGTTCATGTAATAACAGGGAAACCTAACTCCAAACATGACACAGAAGAAGGAGAAGAAGACAGTAAGTTTAGTTTCTGAGATATTGTAGGAGAACATCCAGTGAATGACAAACCATGAATCTGTGATCCACAGTATCTACTTTTCTGTGCAACAAAACCAGTGTTCTTAAATTCAGAGATATTATTTACAGATGATGAGGGGCTTATGCACTTTAACTGTGAATCCATGCTCCTTTAACAATCTAGGGAAGAAAGGGTACCAGTTACTAAAGGGAGCCAACAATTGGTTTTCAGGGAGATGATCTGAACATATTATCAGAACTTGTTTCAGGACATGTATTGTAAGTGCATTTGTGTGGTTGAGAAATTTGTTTCAAAGTACTTAGAGAAAAATTGATTGTTATCGAATATTTATTTGACATATCAGTTTACTGAGGATCCGGTGTTAAAGGGAATAAGGATAACTATTGCAAGGTTTGTCAATGAACCAACTGAGAGGACCAGTGTGTTCATGACTGGGAAGCTCTCTACCTACCCAATGGATGTTCATGTGAAAATGAGTATTTTCCTCTGAATTGCATGCTAACACTCAAACTTGATTCTTGGAAGAGAGTCCACCTTGGGGTACTTATAAGCATTTAAATGTCATTTTAAATCCCTACGACAGTTGTAACTATATTTGAATAAAATATTTACAAAACTCGTTTTCGTTTTGTTCAACCACCCCTACACCTCTACAGGTTTGTTCAAATTTATTTGGTTCACACTGTGACATTTTGTTACCTGTTCCGGTCATTATTTGTAACATACATAAGCACCCTTAACAGTGTGATTTTGACAACTTGATAAGCTGAATGAATTCTGTTTTCAGGTCATTTCTTGTCAGTCATCAACAGAGCATCCCTGGAACCGGTGAAGAAATATGACTTTCCTCAAACAGAGTCGCAGGAATATGGATGGACGACAAAGCCATTTGTAAGGTTGTTTTAGATATTTGCAGCAGTTAAAGTAGTATTATTATGTTACACTTTGGTTACAGGTACAGGAAAGAAACTGCATATACAAAGACCATTCTTTTACTCAAACATAACCATCTTGTACAACTTTTAAAAATGAAATTTATGGAAAGCAGTTTTTATTTAGTCGATAGAAACAAATATATCAGTTTTCTTCTCCCTTTTAAAAAATGTAATCAGGCGAAGCAATGATCCATGTAGGAGACAAAGGTTTTGTTGTTATTCATGAAGTAACCAGCCCCATACTTGTATGTTCCCATTTATTGGTGGGGGCATGGGGCAGCTGCTGATGGGTGTCACCACAGCTGTAAATGTCAGACACATGCACTACTTTGAGCTGTTCTCTGACATAAAGCTGTCATGCTGTGATATAACTGGGATGCCCATGCTTGTCGTGAGAGTGACTAATGGGATTGGGTGGTCAGGCTCGCTGACTGCGTTGACCACCAATTGTAAAGATCGATGTTCATGATGTTGATCCCTGGATTGTCTGGTCCAGACTCGATTATTATATACAGATCGCCGCCATATAGCTGGAATTTTGCTTAGTGTGGCGTAAAACTAAACTCACTCACTTTTTTTACTCACTCACTGGTAAAAGCTACATTAAACTCACCTTACTCACTCGTATATACCATACCATAATTTCCATTTCAGATTCCCAGAGACCCTACAGACAAGAGGCTGTCTTTCCACAAGTGCAACACTGCCATCACCAAGTACAATGACAAGGCATGGGGCGAGAAGGAACAGCGGGAGAACATGAACTAGCCATACAACATGCAATTATAATTTATAGTTCACAATGTAGTTACTTTCTTTTGTAAATATACACACATTGTGTTCTCAACATTTATTATATCATTACCATGTTGCAAATTGATAAAATCAGATTTCTTTAAAGGAACTGGTAATTATAGTCTAGTGAAATCTTAGTATGCAAGTTACTTGTGAATTAGGCTGCAGATATGTTCTTTAAGTACAAATTGCAAATAATGACAACAGATTAAAACTTAATATATAGCAATTTCTTAGGTACCTCATTGTAGTTTATTTCCAGTGTTTTAGATCATGAATTGGTCCAAATGCCAGAATGGTGTCAGTGAATATTCCTGATATTTTCCAAACCAGTATGTTACTTCAGGTATATAGCCAGTATGTTGGGTCTCCACACATGGTGTCAATAGGGTTATAGTTGTAGCTGTAATGTTAGCTCTGTATGTTCTCTGTGAGAGAACTTCATGTTTAGTGTACTATTTGATCTAACTCTATTTGAATCGTACACAATGTATTTTGTATTCAGACAATCATTTTGGAAGTATAAAATACTAAATGTTACACATTTTCAGTTAGACCTGCAATGATATTACATTTTCAAGGCTCTCAAGAGCTACTTTACCTTTAATTACCTAGTTTTTTTGTTTTCGATTATACAGATAGTATTATACGAGATGACTATTTCCTCTGAACAATGCCAACTGTATATACGTTTCAGGCAGCACTCGTCAGCTGGAACTTGTTTGTGTGTATACTGATACTGTGTGAAAAGTCTTGATTGTATGTCTTGCATGAATGTATATTTTAGTTCACATGTAAAGGACTTTTGTCAAACTAAAGAAATCCATTTTATCATGTTTTGTACTGTTGTTGTCTTTCCATTGATAATTTCAACTTGCAGCATAAGCTACACAGACAGCATTCTTCTGAAATGTTGACTGCCTCTGTGGTGGTGGTTGGAGCGTCCGCCCCAGAGAGTGGGAGGTTGCGGGTTTGTCATACCATAAGACGTTAAAATATGGTACTTTTTGTTCCCTGCCTGGTGCTCGGCATTAATTTGTAAAACAAGGACTGGTCGGCTGGGCGTCAGTATAATGTGTCTGAGTGGGGTATTCATGCTTAACTGCAGCATGGTATCCCAGTGAGCTAGCACTATAAAACCAACTTAAGTCTGGGCATGTACAAGCAGCCACACATACATACCCATGTTGACGTTAGACCCCATTTCACCTCACCACACCTCTGAAATGTTGGTATGGCTTAAGGGTTCCTTGTACTGTACTTTAGATATAGTGTGGTGGTGTTTCCCAGCATCAATTTCACAAGTATCGAGTATCACAAGGAAGTGAACATGGTTTAATGCCACAGTTAGCAACATAACATCAGTTTCACAGTGACCTGTAAACAAGATGGTACTACTTTGAGTATCATCAGAGTATCAAGTTGGGAAGTTCAATATAGACAAACTTTATAGATAACAACTTCTTTTCTTTTGTTAGTGCAACATTTTAATACAGATTGTAGTGCCGTTGTCAAGCAGCAAATATTTCCTGCTTGACAACAGTACATTTGGTTTCCTGCTTGACATGGTACAACTATCTGTATTAACATGTTGCACTCACAAGACAAAAGAAATTGTTATCTAAAATATTTGTCCATAAGGCCAGACCAATTATATTTCTTGTTTTATAGATTTTTGTCCTCAGAAAACCGAAAGGCAGGAGGGAAAAAAATAAAAATAAAATTACCAGTAAAAGTAATATTCCTTCTAAATACTCAAAGTATTTTACTTTTGGCAATTTATGAAATGTGTATGGGGCAAAAAACAATGTAAAAAAATCCTTTTTGTGTAAGTTTACATTTTGGCCAAGAAAAACATCAGGATTTTATTTTTTGAGCGGGGAAAATTTATTATTTTTTTTTCTTATTCTTGAAAAATACGACAGGCGGATCCGTAAAACAAGAAATAAAATTGGTCTGGCCTAAAGATGGTACTTGTTGGTTCTGTGCCAGGCACTCGGCAATATTGGGATAAAACAATGGCTGGATGGCTAAGAGTTGGTATACTGTGTCTGATGTACATGGCAAACTATGTACATGGCAAACTGTGGAGTGGGTGAACACTGTACAAATAAACAAACAATGGAGAAAAGGTGTTAAAGTACTGTCGGAAATATATATGTAAAAAAAAAATGTTTTTAGACTGTTACTCTGTACCCCTAAAATATACACAACTGCAAATAGCATATCTTGAAAATAACCCACATCGGCCTAACTGAGTACTCAGTGGGATGCGTAATAGGATATCCAGAAAAGCATGTTTACTCGTAAAATCGCACAAAACTTAAAAAATCCCCCGAATAGCTGTTGAAAACAATAGATCAGACTATAGATGGCAATTAGGTAGCTCATCCAGGTGTGACAACGGACCGTCGACTCCCTGGCATGGAATGCATGTGCTGCCTGTCGGCACAAGGGGTCATCTCAAAGGTATTTTATAGTAAAATTTCCAAGTTGAGATATGTAAAAGAGTATGATACCCACAGAAAATCTTAAATCAGCCATCATATTAAATGTCTCAAAATATATATGTTGCATCACCACCCGAAGATTGACAGGACTGGATATTATTTGTAAATTATGACATACCATTTACTTACCCAGTTTCATTCCCCTAAAGGATTATCATTCTTATCTTAGCTGATATATCTATCCCCCAGCCCGACCTCAAACGCCGTTTATGACCCCCGTTTTGCTTTTGAGATGACCCCTCCTACCGATTATTTATTTTTTAATTATTTTTTTATGTCAGCCATCGTTTATAATGAAGGTAAGTCTAATTTCAAAATGGGTATTTAAGTGTCCAGTGTCCATTAAAGTGTCCTTTAATTTGTAATACAACATCATCGCACTATAATTTGCATAAAGCCATGGTCTGTTCCAAATAAGTCGCTTTGGACTTGGAAAAAATCCACAATGCTCATTTCTGCACTAATCTCTCCTCAGTAAAGTCTTTCTTTTACGTTTCCTATCTCTCTACCACTGAGACTGTAGTTAGGCCGAACTAAGTTTAACAGATATTGCACACTTTCACATATTAGCTGCATAATTGTAGATATATATGTGAAAAAAGTTTTTTTCTATTTCCAACAGTACTTTAGTTCAGGCTATTTGAGCAGAAACACATTTACATGTATTTGCATTCACATTGCTGAATAAATGCAATTATCATGAACGCAACATGAAACCCAATTTCACCTCACCCCATGTGGAGACTCTTTCTGACCCACAATAATTCTTTGAAATTGAACTTTCCTTGTATAAATATAGTGATAAGACCAACAGTTTAACTCCCTGTTACTTTTCACTGATGCTAGCATAGACTGACATGTAGCACACCGCATTGGGTCGAGCATTTATATATATCAGTAATATATCCGGTATATGGTGGGTGGTCTGTAAATACTAGTAATCGAGTCTGGACCAGATAATCCAGTGATACTAGCATAGATTGACATGTAGCACACCCCATCGGGTCGAGCATTTATAGATATCAGTAATATTTCAGGTATATGGCGGTGGTCTGTAAATAATCAAGTCTAGACCAGACAATCCAGTGATCAACAGCATGAGCATCGATCTATGCAATTGGGATACTATACTAGCCACATAAAGAAACTGTGCATTGTCAAAATATTATCCCAGTTGATAAGTACGATAACAATGTCAAAGGTACATATAAACTTTAATGGAGGAATCATGAGACCATAACAAGTCGGGAGAATTTCAATTGAAAAGTCAATCACAATGACGTCACGAGCCCACAAGCGGGACAGGGGTCAAACGACCATGTCACAAGCTCAATAACGGTATGTCCACCATCGGCATTGAGAACAGCAGTGCATCGACGACGCATAGAGCCTATCAAATGTGCAAGGAAGGCTTGTGGGATGTCACGCCAGATTCTCTCAAGTTCTGTTGCGAGGTCAAGGACGTTATCTGGCGGATGAGGAAGACGGCAAAGACGTCGATCCATCTCATCCCAAACATGCGCTATCGGGGAGAGGTCCGGTGAATTTGCAGGCCAAGGCAGTAAATCAACGTTGTGGTGTTGCAAGAAATCCATAGCAACCCTTGCCGTATGAGGGCGGGCATTGTCCTGGTGGAATGTTAACCTTTTGCAGAAAAGGAATTGCCACAGGTCGAAGAATCTGATCCCTGCAGCCCACAAACCAGTTAAGTTGCCCTGAACAATCACCAAAGGAGTTCTTTGGCGTGCTCTTATTCCACCCCAAATCATCACGGAACCACCACCAAAGCGATTCCTCTCCAAGACACAGGCCTGTGCATAACGTTCTCCAACACATCTATAGGCACGTTGACGTCCATCACTATGGGAAATGTTAAACCTCGACTCATCTGTAAAAACAACATTTCTCCACCAAAACAAGGGTCTGTGGACATGATTTCGGCACCACATTCGGCGAAGTTGTCGAACTGTGTTGGGGTGGATACGGCGAAGTCCTGGGATGGTTCGGGCAGTCCTCACTGCAGTCTGAAACCTGTGGCGAAGATGGGTCACCCTTATCGATCTGTCCTGTCTTGGCGTTGTTACACGTGGACGTCCAGAACGTGGCTGATCGATGAAGTCATTTGTGTTCTGGTAGCGTCTCACCAGTGCAGAAATGGTGTTCCCGGTGGCAGTGGAAATGTGCAGCCACTTGTCGTTGAGACATTCCCCAACGGACCATCCCAATGGCCTCATGATGTTGTGCAGACGTGAGCCTTGGCATGCTATGCGTTTCAATAGCCGTTCAATTTTTTGAACGATCACAAGGGCAGGGGTTGAGCTTTCCAAAGTGACAGTATTGTGTGGCATTCATTTGCTCTGTTTCTCTTTCCCGGAATGCATGTGCAACAATGTATTGCACGTCTCAAGGACGAACTCACTGCCATCACGGAACGTGGCACATGCATGCATGTTGGATACATGTCACTAATCTCTCAGTTTAAATCCTTATGTGTCTACACAGGTTTGATAAATTTAGATTTTAAATTTTTGTATGCAGTTTCTTTATGTGCCTAGTATATGATAGTGTCAACCAAGTCAGCAAGTCTGACCACCCAATCTTGTTCGTTTTGTGATGTTTAGCAAATAATTTTTTTCTTCAATTTTTCAATTAATCTGATCATGTACACATAGCCAGTTTAAATTACAATCAAAGAACTATTTCAAATGACCCCGTTTTGATTCCATGTTAGAATTGGTCCCATACAACTTTGGTGATTGGGTTGGTAGTGTTTCCAGACAAGTTCTCAAATATTTACTGGCTGCCATCATTTAGCTTGAATACTGCTGAGTGTCAAACATCAAACCAGACTTGAGAATAACAAACTTAATGACTATGAATACACATTTATTTACAAAATATGACAGGTATACAGAAGCTATCTCTTTCGGTTCTTCATTTTCATCCTCTTGGACTTCCCTGGTCTCCCACTTTTCTTTGGCTTCTGAAAAAGAGGTAAAAACGATCTGTATAGTTCATTATGTTCTTCATACTCAGCCATTATAAATGTATACGCTACAATTACAACCATGTCCTTCATCAGACTGGTTAACTGTCATTAAACTAGGTGCCTTCTTTTAGAAGTTCTACCACAAACCGAAGTATATGTAACACATTTCCAAGCTGTTATACCTCAGTTTTGAAATACAATCCAGCCAGACAACGGCCTCCTTCCACAAGGAGATTTTTGTGCTCTGACTGACTATCTCTACTCCCATATTCTGGGCAGTGCTAACATGGCCTGTAGAACGAAACCCAGTCTCACAGCCATACTGAGAAGACGAAACGTAATCAGAAAAGCATTATCCTGTTTGTGACCTACCTTTCCGTACTTTCCACTTTGTTTTGCTCCAGCAAACTCAGATACATCAGCTGCACTGTCCTTAGTGTTGTACTTCGACCTCTTCTTCTGACCTCCAAATCCAAACTTATTGTTCTTGAACTGGCGTTTTTTGTTTGGTCTGAGAAAGAAAAGGAAGTTAGACCCTATTTGAGAAAACATTATGCAAGTTTGTTATACAGTTTTAGGGCGATGTGGGCAAATAAGAGTCCTATTTGGGCCCAAGAAAAACATTAGGCAAAATTTCTTTCAAAGTTACCTCCCCTGGCGTGTCAGGTCGTTGATTTCCAAGGATACTGATCATAACTGAATGGAGATTGACCATTCTTAGTGCACTGCACATATACCACACTATATCAGTGCCTCAGAAATCTGAAATATTCATAATACATATACCATGATATTGCATGCCTTTTTAACCACCAAACTTTACTCTCTTATATATAGTTGGAGTTGTTATAAAAGATGCATACTGATTCCTCTTCTTGTCCAAGTTCTGTAATGTTGGCTGCTTCCTCTTCCCTTCAGCCTTCTCCACATCATCCAGGAAGTCTAGTTTGTTCAACTGACCTGCATAGTACAAATGGTCATACAGTGCTAGTCTCCAGACAGTAATTACAGTACTGTAATGAAACTCATAGTAACAAATTTGGGTTATTTTCAAGCAGGTTTCATCAAACCATGATATACGCAGTAATACTGGATGCTAAGACACTGTGAGTGAGTGAGTTTCAGCGAACTTACCTTTCCTGTATTTTTTAACAGATTGTAGCATCTCTCGCTTCTCTTTCTGTCGCTGTAGCAGAACCTCTGTTTGCACCTAGAGAGAGGATGTGAGTCAGTGAATTGGGCATTATGTGATACAAAATCTAAGTACATTAGGTGTCTGTTTGGTATAATTAACCTTAGAGCCAGGGAGAGCAGCAGAGACAATGAGTATATAAGGCATATCCTGTTCATTTTATAAACTTAATCAACAAGTAAGGTTTTTCGAGGGATCAATTGTTTACATTGACATATTAAAAAAATAGGTTGTAAAGTATTAAGTCTCAATATTTAGAAAAATAGTGAAATAGTGACACTGCAGCTCTTCTGGTTACATTTACAGTTCAGTTAACAGTTTAAAATATATAAAAAACACTGACACTTATGTACAAAATGTGAGCATTGATGAAGATGAAATATGTCCTGCTAAATACTCTAAAATTAAATGAATAATTTCATAATAATTAGAAAATAGAATTTTGACAATAGCAGAGGTCAACTGAAACAAAGATGGATTTTGAGAACAAACATGGATGTCAGCTAAATCGACTTTTAGTCTGCTGAGCTAAAAACGGAAGTAATCATATCCTCCGTGCTTCTTCTGCTTACCTTTTTACCATACTTCCTGAGATCCCTCATTTTCTTTGCTTTCTCAGATCGTTCCATACCAATCTGCTTCTCAAGCAGTTTTTCTCGGACCTGGTGAAACACAAAAACACTACATCATGGGTTTCCAAATACATGATTTATTGTAGGCCCGTCCATTTGCCAAGAAAATAGATTGTTCACCATGTTGTTGAGGCGGTTTTGTAGCTGGATTGTTTACTTGTCCATTAGACTGAGTAGCATAGCTATTATTAGCTAAACTATCTGGCGAATGAAAATCAAGGGCAGGTAATCTGAGGTTGCAAGAACCAGGCAAATGTATCAAGGGGTCATTGTAGGTTTACAAACTGGAGATGCAGAGGTTATAGGCGCACCCTTGAGATACAATACATACCTTCTTCATGTGGTCATCTGACTTGGCCATCTGAGCGAAATAGTCCTCCGGTCTCTTGGTGGGCACTCCCAAATCATGAAGCTTGGCCATACCTTTCACAACCGATGCCTGAGCCTGGCAGTAACTGCAATGGATAAATGAAGATGCAGAGATCTACCTTGCCCTTGCTTGTTTCAGGTCTTTCTAGTTTCAAGTCCAGAGGACACACAACAAGAAGAGTCTCAAACTGGCGACATGTGGCACACTTCACTGGATTTCCAAGAACCTTACTGATGTCATATCATTAGGCATGCTTCGAGTTTGAGTTTGATTTTCCGCCGCTTTTAGCAATATTCCAGCAATATCACAGCGGGGGACACCAGAAATGGGTTTCACCCATTGTACCCATGTGGGGAATCGAACCCGGGTCTTCAGCGAACGCTTTAACCACTAGGCTACCCCACCACCCCCAGGCATGCTTCAAAGCTTTCAGCATAATGCAGGTGACAATTTCAATGATGCAGGTGACAATTTCAGTCAGCAGCTAACACTCTGTATTTTGTGTTTATTTTTTACCTCACTAGATACATCTGTTATATATATTATGCAGTCTACTATTTTGATATCTTGTAATGATTCAGTCAAACCTTTTTCACTCTCTCCAGAAACATCTGTGGAAGGTTTACTGTTAACATTCAAATAAGTAACTACTGACTCTAGACTGTATAAGTCTCATGCATGCATACATACAATCCAGCCAGCCTCATGCTAATGACCTTTCAGCAGGTCAGTTTTTTCAAGATATTTTGTTCTGAAATATATGTTTTATCATCAAATATTTTTGACAATGTTTGAAATCCACACCAGAGTGTGGGATGCTAAATGCACATGTTACCACCAAATATACTCATGGTTGTTTACAGTCTAATTTAAAGTCATTAGAACTAATAGAAGAGTTGTTTTGAAGCATTGTTTGTCACAAGACAGATGCAGTAAAGAAACATGATTCTGTTAAACTAAGACGGAAACCAAACAAATCAGAAATTAAATGACAATAATTGAAAATTACAATTTCATTTCCCTCCTAAAGTCGTCATTTACATCATCTTCGCCGACAAAGTCTGTTCCTGGTGGAGGGGGAGCTGGTTCATTTGTCAAGTCTAGTCTTTCTATCCAGTCCAGATTTTGTTGGAAAGCATGTAGCTTTGTCTCCATGCCCTCCTATAATTCAACAGAAAGATGTTTATTGTTTTCATGTAAGATTTGAAGCTCAATCTGCAAGAGAAACAATGTGGTTAAGAGAAATGGAGGTTTTCATGTCACTTCTGAAATGAAACCAAAATAGCAATTTGTTCATTGATATTTCCTATAAAAGGTGAGGTGAGGTGAAATTGGGTTTTACATCGTGCTTGAGAATATATCGCTCATATGACGACGTGCATGCGTGTGTATGTGTATGTGCGGCTGCTTGTACTAGCCCAGACTGAAGCTGGTTTTATAGTGCTAGCCCACTGAGATACCATGCCGCAGTGAATCATGAATATCCCACTCAGACACATTATACTGACTCCGAGCCGACCAGTCCTTGTTGTACCCATTAATGCCGAGCGCCAGGCAGGGACCAACAAGTACCATATTTTAACGTCTTCTGGTATGACGCGGTCGGGGATCGAACCCGCGACCTTCGGCTCTCAGGGCCGACGCTCTAACCACTACACCACGGAGGCAGTCTTCCTATAAAAGAATGGAGTTTAGTAAAAACACTGCCTGCAATATCCAATTAATTGGACACTACAACAGAAAAGGCCAGATTGCCCATAATAGAAGGAAGAAACTCACTAAGCACATCAGATAAATGGTTGTAACACTGATTTTAATGTCAGTATTCGCACATCACACAGTCAGATTTGGGGGAAAACTCAAAGTAACACAATACAAATGCAAAATCTTAAATCAGAAATTCAAACAAACTTCTCTTTTTTGAGACAACTTACTGGTATAAGCTTGAAATCAAGAATCTTAGAAAGAATATATTACTCACTGTGTCCTTGATGAATGTTTTTGGCTGTTCTGCAACCACATTTAAGCCTGGTTTTAGTTTACCGCTGGCAAAAGCTGCCTGGAGCTGAAAAGGTGAGGAGATATATGTAACAGACTGGACAAAGGGTTAAATGATCTAAGGGAGATAACTCTCCAATGTAACATATTAAAAGATCACCTTAATATATAGAGGATATTATATGAGTGACCATGTCATACTATGTTTACAACATGATTGCATAAATGTTGGTATTTCCCGAGTTAAAGCGAGGCATATACCGATATTCAGGCATGAGTGTCATAAACATAGTATGAAATGGGCACGAATATAATGTTCTGTACATTACCGAAGTCGTCATAATTGAGGAAATTAAATCCAAATCTGCTTTCAAACCTAGGCTGGCTACCTGCTGTTGCTGCATGCAGAATGCAACATCACAGAAGAAACGTGACGTCATAGCATTGTTCATGACGTCACATCACCATGACAAAGTGATATTTTGCCCTAGGGCATCTTGTTAAAAAATATGAACCCTGATATTTTCGCCCTCGTTTGTAATAATTCAGTTTATTACCCATATGGTGAAACAAAACCAGTGTCATATATATATAATATGTGCACATTTACACAAATAATTTTTGCCTAGCAACCATTGTTTCTGTATTTCGTCATCTGTTACATCATTCAACAATTGAATGTGACATCAATGAAGAGGGCTGTCACACTTGCTTACCATGTTTTACTGCATACACATACATGAATGAAATGGATAATAAAGAAATTATTGCACTCGAGCAAGTGTGTCATATGTCTTATACATTGCCCGAGCGAGAGCGAGCAAAATTTCACACTTGTTTTGTATAAGTCGTATGACATACTTGCTCGTGTAATAATCTCTACATCAGCAACTGCAGCCTTTTTTGTTGTCACAACTTCAGTTCATACAAAGTTCATTTCCTAAACCAAAACAATGGAGCTCCACACAGCGAGGCAGATAATAAAAGTGCTGTACAGAATAACTGGCTTCCGTATCCTTTTCATGAAGGCATATAAAGAGAAAGCTTGTGTGTATCTCTTGAGTATTAGTTACAAAAAGATACCCGTGAAGGTCGGGGTTAGACTATTGATCTTCAGTAACCCATGCTTGTCGTAAGAGGCGACTAACAGGATCGGGTGGTAAGGCTCGCTAACTTGGATGACACATGTCAACAGACCACCGCCATATAGCTGGAATATTGCTGAGTGCGGGGTAAAACTAAACCCACTCACTCACTACAAAAAGGCACTTGCCAGAGTGATTGTACTAGAGGCAAGTGTTTATCTAATCCTCAGGGAATATGACAGGGCCATAGGCATGGTACAGTCTGGTACCACACAGACATTGCCCGTTGATTTAACACCTAGAGAATCACCTATGGTGATGTTTTTGGCAAAACGATCAAGTTATATAGACGGTGGCTGCTCAAGTTGCAAAGCAGTATCTTGATCAAAACATTCATTGACACTTAGTGGCCTCAGTGAGGCGAGGACATGACCGGCCTGCATCAAAGCACACGGTGGACACTCTCGCTACAGTCTGTGTGAACTTAATGTGAACACCTTCTTGTGTTTTGGCTTATCTGCATATGCTGACGTCCTAGCATGTTGTTATAAATTGTTTCCATACCTTGAAATATTTGTCTCTTCATGTAAAAACATTTCCTTTGCAGCAGTGAAAGTTCAACACTGATTCTGATAGTTGTTTGTGTGTCACAATAATGTTTTCCTCTACTGTAACTGCCTCAGTCATATGAAGCTAGTCTCTCTTACTGGAGTTCAAACATGAAATTGCAAATGTTTTTCAATAAATCCGAACATTTAGATAAATGGGTGCTTACTTTTCATTGAGCATGTTGAGTGAGTGAATATGGTTTTACGCCTCTTTTAGCAATATTCCAGCAATATCATGACAGGGGACACCAGAAATGGGCTTCACACTATGTACCCATGTGGGGAATCGAACCCTGGTCTTCGGCGTGACGAGCGAAAGCTTTAACCACTAGGCTACCCCACCGCCCCTTTAGCATGTTGATAAAATATCCATTAATTGTGGAAAACTATTCTCATTTGCTTATCTATCTCCATTTGCTGCCATCAAAACCCAATGGAAACCTAGCAAGAGTCAATTGATCATGCTGAAAAGCACAGCTATATTGTCATAAAGCTGTGTGGTCACAGTTGTAGAAGCATACCTATATAAATATGCTATACACAAAGCACACTGAAAGGCATACATTATCTGTTCTTACTTACCGCTGCCATATAGCTGGAATATTGCTGAGTGTGGCGTAAAACTAAACTCACTTACTCACTCTGTTCTTACTTCCGAAAAAGTACAGTCATCCCTCACTATAATACGGGTCTTGACGTCCATGGATGACCCCCTACATTTTGAGACACCACGTTATATTAACTTATACATAACAAGGAATAAAGGCCAAGTAAAATCGTATATTCCATGGACATAACAGAACTGCTATTTCATGTATTGTGCCCAATCTTAACTATATTGTATCGTCCGAGGTGAAAAAAAACAAACTTTGTAAATGAAAATAGATATCTGTACAGCAAACTTGCAATCAACCTGCATCACTAGACATGATAATTCAATTGTCATTCCTGTTATGCCACCTGTTATTCAACTAAGCTGGAAATAGCAATCAGCTGTGTACACATGTTTTGGTCCAATGTACCAGTGATTCAGTTAAAACAATCCGAAAATATTATATCAAAGAATTTCTATTCCATTATCTGACTAATATATATCATACGCAGATATTTTAACAGAGATAATACATATTGCTATCGTATTAGTATAATCTATGTTTTCTATGAATATATTTAACATAATACTTAACATAGGCTCAGCAGTTTGGGATACGTGACTGAATACATTTTATGTATGGAACAGTTTGACAAGTCACCGTTGACTTCCTGCGGTATGCGCCACTTTGATAGTAAAAGCAAAATGTTGGCAATTAATTGTCAGATATGACTTCTGTGAGTAAATAACGTGGGTCTAAGGGTCCATGGATGACGAGGTGGTAATCAGTTTGTGATTGCTGGGAATAATGTGAAATTGGAGCTTCCGCGGTTGGCATGAAAAACAGACCCTCATGAACATGGTAAGCAGATGTTGTACGCATTTAGGATGAGGTGATGCCATGTCACCCACATTTTCTCTGATGTTACTGTAAACAGTTTTAATGAATGAAAATGGGAGTAAATATCATCAAATAATATGAAATCAATTTATTATGTGTTTTCTGACATCTTATGTTTTCGGATGGCAGTGTTTACCTGCACCATATTCGTAAGTACTCAGCTGATGGCATGTCTTTATGATAAAGCTGTCATTTATAAGTGATAACTATGTTCTGCTGTTTGTCTGATTATTCAAGTAAACCAGGTATGTTTTAAGCATCTGACGAACCCCTGATATGTACGATGAACACTGTTCATTTCAATCCGCACTGAATTTCTCTAGTTTACAACATGATTAACCTGAGCTCAACAGCTGATTTGTATTTTCGATGATATGAAAATGTGTGATTGCTGGGCAATGTTTTTATGAAATATACAATGCCATTTTAGAAAGTGGTCAAATGTAACATATGTTATATTTGGGATTACACTTTCTCAGTAAAGTACAGATTCTAGTACTTTTTGGGGGTGTTTTTGTGTCCCATCCGGGATTCGAACCCACACCCTCAGAGTCAGGCACCTAATCGCCAGCACACAAAGTCAGATGCCTTGACCGCTCAGCCACCGCGGCTTCCACAAAAATGGAAGTTGGACAACTGGTAGTCTAGACTGCGGACTTGGATTACCCCACGGTTTAACTGCGGTATCGCGAAGAGCATTATTGCAAGGGATCACTGTGCATTCATTTTTTAAACAAAAAAATTTACTAAACCTATATAAGAGTGTGATCACTGGAGCAGAAACGTTTCTCATGAGAGAAAAGCCGACCAGGCCAGAATAAGCTTGGGAGCTATTAGCTATTGTTTGTAAACAATGCGTTAAAACAGTTGACATATTCTGCCCCTTTAAATTCATTATAAAAGGTAGCCACTGGGTAATGCCAATAATGTTGATAATATTGGGCATTCTGCAAACTTGGTTTTCTTTATTTGTAATTTTATGGTGTGTGTTTACATGTCAGTAAATGAAAGCCATTTAACAGTACCATAAATGCAAAGCCCACCTCACCAATAATGTTTAGATAGTCCGTCGTTCGTACATTGCCTCGTAGACGAATGCTACTGGCCTACCAGCTAGCCGTTGATCGAAACAGTGGAGTTCATGCACTGAGCCTTTGAAGATGGGGTCTTATGTACGGCTTAGAAAATGAAAACCCAAGAAAATCCATTCGGTACCCAACTGGCCAATATCCAAGAGAGATGCAAATATAAAATACTTGATTTACCTCTTCATCAGTGTCCATGCTCTCATAATCTGAAGAGTCTGAATCTGACATGACGGCGGTCGTATTCGTACAAACCCTCTATAGGAGAACACCGTCTAGGAAAACATAAAACACGTGCAAGAGAAAAACACAGGAAGCGGAAATACAACTCTCAGATAATGTCCTAACTAAATACTCAATTGTCGCGCCTCTGTCAATATGTATCTATTTGTGTGTTTTACTTGTCGTTATTTTATCCATTACAACTAAATATATAGTTAGGTTTCTATTTTTGTGAAGGGACAGTTTGCCACGGTTACAGTTACTTATAGGACATCACTTTGAAGTCTCGCTGATTGCGAGAGTTCGACTGAAGTCTCGCCCTTCGCCAGAGAGTTTTGAGGACACAGCTAGGGGTTAGATATTGAGAACATTATTTCCATGAAAAATGGGGAACATGATGTATGCATATGTTTCGCACCCAGACACGGCTCCTAACATCAACAAACCTCCATCATTTGATCCCCTTTTGGGCTTTGAAAACGGACGGAAAGAAAGAAGTGAGTGTTTGTTCATTGCATCTAATAACTTAGTGATAATGTTTATTGGAGTTATCGGGTGGCAAATAACCCTGGTTAGATTTGCTCTTCATCAATCCATACTTGTCGTAAGAGTCGGGGATCTGGTGCCCCCCAGTCAGACTTTGCTAATGCATGTCATCGTATAATGCAAACGTGCAACACCTTGATTATTGTAACTTTGACATATGATCATGATGATATATGGCTGACCATATGTCTTATGTGACAAGCATGATATGGATAGATGAAAACAAGTCACATGAAACAGTATCTTATGCAGAATTATTTTTGAAAATTATGAACTTATTGTTTTAAAAAATGTCCGATGGACTAGACCAATGCAGTACAAATGTACTGAATACAAAGATCAACACTCAGTACTCATACTGAATGATGATATGAATGTACGCAATAGTTCTCACACAATCATCTTTAGCGCTGAAGGCATTAACTGTCCGATAACCATAGTTTATTAATAAATTTGAAAAATGTCATTCACATCCTGCTAGAATTCACTGTTTATAGATTCTGATACTATTATATGTTCCTTTTCCCAGTTAATCAGTTGTTATTAAGTAAATATGGCTTTAGCCAGAAGTCCAAATCCTGCCTCTACTATAATTCAGTTAAATTTTGACCAGTAGTAAACTCAATACTAAAGAAAGAAAAAACCCATCAAAATCAACACCAAATTGCTGTCAAGGTTTTGACAAGTAGAACCAAAAGGTTTTGGGCACAGACTGCTGACATTTAGGTGATTCTGTGCCCCCAAACAATCATGATGACTGTAAGAGTTTGGTCAATATTACTACATAGCTGTTAATACATCACATACTTTGAGCGATTTATTGCTATTGTTGGTGGAAATATCTCATCACGCTCTTACACAAACAGTTGTTTTGTACAATCCTATCTTATTTTATCTTACTTATTGATAAGTTTGAATATTTACATGAAAATAATATTTTTTTCAGCTGTCAAGGCAACAAGGGAGGAGTTAGATCAGGCCAGGATACCCCTAGAAAAACGGGATTACTGTGTAGACGACTTCATGGCATTTATGAAATGCAGAGACAGCAACTTCCCATTTGTTCTATCAAAGTGTTCCCATGAGAGGCATGTGTATGAGGAGTGTGAATACCAGGAGTAAGTATCCCACATAAGTGTAACTCCTTTGATTAGATGAGATGTAAAGAAGAGATGGTAGTGTTTGCAATTAACCATGCAAATAAGTATGTTGACATATGTAACCTTGTGAATACACAATGCCATTTAGAAAGTGGTCAAACGTAGCATATGTTTTATTTGAGATTACACTTTCTTAGTGTAAAAGTACTTGAATCTGTACTTTACTAAGAAAGAGTTATCCCAAATATAACATATTTTACATATGTAAACTTCATGATCTTGGCAAAATGTATCACAGTGTATAATAATATTTATTGTTATGCATCAGTTTGCAACTTAAGCCACCAATCCAAACCCAGAATCTAGTAAATCCTGTTGTCTAGTAAGCTCAGCTAATATTAGTTCATGTAATATCACTAAATTCTACTGAAATTGTGTTCAAGAACCATGTTTGGCATTTGTAGAGATGAGTATGGGCAGATAACCTTGGAATGGGCCGCCAGTACCGAAATCAGAAAGATTTAAGTGGTTCCACATATCAAGACTGGTTACATGCAATACTGCCCAGTAGTGTAGATATTTGCTCATGCTGTCAACTTGGAATATTACACAATGTAAAACAAGAGTCATCACAAGATGACATATCCCCCCGGCCCCCACATCTTTGAAAGAACAAATCATCTCACAGTAACTTAAAGTCCAGCTTGAGTTTACACTAAGTGCAAATCGTTTCCATGGAAATGATGAAAAACATAAATGACAAAAATCTGCAAATAGCAAAAGGCACCACTTCAAGATCTGCCTCGCATAGCTGCCAAGTTTTACTGAAAGATATTAAGAAGTTTTTGAAACGAAACCCACCCCTCCCTTTTGAGACTAAGTCTAAATCGTTTCCATGTAAACCTAGAAAAAACAAAAAGACAAAAATCTGTAAATAGCAAAAGGCACCACTTTGGGATCTGCCTCACATATCTGCCAAGTTTTGCTGAAAGATATTAAGAAGTTTTCGAGTTGTGCTCCGGAAACGAAGCCCACCCCTCCCTTTTGGGATTAAGTTCGATTTGTTTCCAGGAAACTAGGGAAAATAAAAATGCCAAAAATCTGGAAATAGCAAAAGGCACCATTTAAGGTTCTGGTTGATATATCTACCAAGTTTTGTTGAAAAATATTTAACGGTTCTTGAGTTGTGCTCCGGAAACAAAGCCCACCCCTCCCTTTTGAGACTAATTCCGAATCGTTTCCATGGAAACCAGGAAAAATAAAAATGCCAAAAATCTGCAAATAGCAAAAGGCACCACTTAAGGCTCTGTTTGATATATCTACCAAGTCTTGTTGAAAAATATTTGAACGGTTTTTTGAGTTATGCTCCGGAAACGAAGCCCACCCCTCTTTAAGACTAAGTCCAAAACGTTTCCATGGAAACCGACAAAAATATAGATGACCATAATCTGTAAATAGCAAAAGGCACCACCTTAGGTTATGTTTGACATATCTACCAATTTTTGTTGAAAAATATCTAATGGTCTTTGAGTTGTGCTCCGGAAACAAAATGATTACAGACGGACGGACAGACGGACGAGGCAATGACTATATCCCCCCGCATTACATGCCGTGGGGATAACAAGATTCACTCACATTGCCTGTTTCATAGAAACAAGTTGAGTTGAAAAACAAATCTGAATCTAAAACGTATCTTGGACATGGTTCTGAATTCTACATGAAACTTTCATTTGTACTTAGGGTTTGTGATGACAAAATGCCTCAAGGGATTTGGATATCTGATTTGGTATTTTATGATTGATAATGATTGATAAATTGTTTTTTCAGTTTTGTCTTGAGGATGAAGGAATACGAGAGAGAAAAGCGATTGTTGGAAAGACAGAAGAGGATACAACAGAAAGATGCAGCAGAGGAACTAGGAGATTGATGCTTGGAGGGGGCACCTGTTTTATAATCTGTACATACAGGATATATCCAAGTGTATACATGAGGCTGTGTGTAGATTGTCAGATCCAGGCACTCGGTGTTGTTATATGTGGACATGACACAGAGAAACTGGGTAGTTTTTGGATTTCATTCAGTGCTGTTAAATATATTATTTTGAACTTATGACTGCATTTGTGATGATTTTAGTGTCATGTTCATCATGAGGTCTCTTCATTGTTAGATAAATGGGAAAACAATGAAAAAGTGTCCATTAAGCATGTTAAATGTCTGTAAGAGTACAAACATCATCCTTAGAATTGTTTGCCTCGACAATAACATGAGTGCATGCTTGTCCGTTACCAACAGTAAATATTCCCAGCTTATTTGACATCTGTTTTGTCTGCGAAGTCTGACTGAGTCATTTGCATGTGATTAAAGGACTAAATGTGATTTTCCTTTTCCTACTGTGGATGTGCAACTTATCCCTCACTCTTTTGGAGTTCTAGGGCAGAATAGGCAATCACAGTGGTGATTGAATGATCAGTATTGTGTGGAGTATGAGTACCATTCAACTTGAAAACCTGTTTACCTGGAGTGAGTGAGTGAGTATGGTTTTACGCTGCTTTCAGCAATATTCCAGTACTATCACAGCAGGGGACACCAGAAACAGGCTTCTTACGTTGTAGCAATGTGGGGAATCGAACCAGGGTCTTCGGGGGGATGAGTGGATGCTTCAACCACTCAGCTACCCCACCGCCACTGCTTACCTGGAGATTACTGTGACCAGGTTTTAAAACACTAATAACCTGGATCACTGGCTGGTGTTGTTCCAACTACATCATTTTCTTGTTCTTTGGTCTACTTTTTTCTACAGGGTGTTATCAAAAGGTTGAGATGATAACAATGATAAGGAGGAATTATGTAGTGCTGGTATCCATCTACAAGCATGGGTTACTGAAGATCAATTCAGACCCGATCCTCACCGGTATATTAAAGTTCAAAGTTACAAACTCACCACTTATGTTATATGCTAATAACTTTCAGTTTTACAATTCCACAGCTATGGAACACTTGGGAGTAACTGCAGTGCCGTAAGAACTGGTGTTATATGCAACATCTTGTACTATTCTGGTAGCAGTGTTCTGGATCTTCTGAAGTTTGTAAAGATGACCCCTATCAACAGGCTGTTGCTATAATCTAGGCGATCTTCACGGGCGAGAACAACACTGATTTGGATGTCCAAACTATATACACGATATATCCAGGAACCATAAGGAAAGAAAGCATAGCAAGATGGTTTCAGTCAGAAGAATACGAGTAGTTGGCGATTATGACTGATTGTAATGCCTGCTATTCTGACCTTGGATTCAAACCCAAAATCACTCGATCCTGGTACTCAACTGCATCAGCAAACTGCTGCGTCATTAACCCTTTTAGAACCTTAGCACCAGACCATATAAGGAAACATGTCTAAAGTATAGATAACAGACAAAACACCGATCCAGTTCAGTAGAAAAATAAGTTTAATTACAATCGCCATTAACAGTAATTCAAGGCAAAGATCTACAAATTAACAAAATCAATATATGAGCGAAGTAAAAAAGAAGTACACAAGACTCATAACAAGTGGTTCCAGCCATAAGGCCAGACCAATTTTATTTCTTGTTTTACGGATTTTGGTCCCCAAAAAACCTAAAGGCAGGAGGAAAATAAAACAAAAATAAAATCACCAAAGTATATTCCTTCTAAATACTCAAAGTATTTTACTTTTGGTAATTTATGAATCATATATGGGGCAAAAAACAAACAATCTAAAAAACTCTTCTTTTTTTCTGCAAGTTTACATTTTTGGCCAATAAAAACATTAGGATTTTATTTTTTGAGCGGGTAAAATTAATTTTTATTTTTTTTCTTATTCTTGAAAAAATATGACAGGCGGATCCGTAAAACAAGAAATAAAATTGGTCTGGCCTAAACATCTTTCAACATTTGGCTCAAGCACACACTGAAAGTAAAGGAAGTCATCATAATCAAGGGAAATAATAAATACTGGATACAGTTGGTGATGCAATGATATAATGAACATACTCGTATCTAAGCTGTATATCCAAGTGTTGCATTTGCACAAGAACTCCTTTCATGGTAGGGATAGTAATGAAAAAGGTTTTTATGCAATATTCTGTTCACTTGAATATGTTGAGGTAAGGTTTATAAATAATTTCTTGTTTTCCCTTGTTTACTGTTACAAATTGCAAGTCTCTGATATTGATATTGAAGTGTGATTAACCTCTCAACAGAAGTTGAGTAACAGTGAATGCCCCTGTGAATTTACCTGCCAAATGTCATGGGCAGCTCGACTACAGCAAAACTCAGAATATACATCTTTCCTTAATGCTTTATGGTAGTTTGCACCATTACCAAAAACATTCTTTTGGCTAACCCTGTTTTTCTGGTCCTAATGCAACTTGTTTGGATAACCTCAGGACATTGTTTCGAGCAAAATACGTTAACCATTGTCTTAGAAGATGGTTAATGCGGTATAAGAGCCAAGAATGCTAAATTTCAATGGAGACCTATGTTTTAATCAAATTCAGTAAATAAGATACATACTTTGAATAAACTTAGGTTTATCTTGTTTGTTGTTTAACAATATTCCTGTCATAAATATTCAAGTCTGGAGCAGACAATCCAGTGATCAAGGGCATGAACATCGATCTACACAGTCGGGATATGATGACATGCATCAACCAAGACAGCAACCTGACAACCCGATCCCGTTAGTCACCTCTTAGTAAGCTCGTATGTGAGTTAAAGACCCTGAACGTAATTACTTGTACCAATTTGTAGAAGTAACTTTGTGTTTATTTCCCTTCATAGCTGGAGAACTAGCAATATTTGAACACAATATCATATATCATAAGGGAGTGCACACACAATAACTTGATAACATGTCAGTGTTGTACTGACATATGGTAGTGTATAATATATGAAGAGGTCAATAATTACAGAATATGGTAAAACTGAGAAAGACTGCACCTAAAACTAAGGCCCATTAAACACTGGGTGAGCAGAAGGGAACAAAAACTATTTCAAGCTATTTTCTCTTTAAACTATCTTCCAAAAATGTTTTCTATTTCGTACTAGGGCTTACATATTGTCAGTTTTAGTGGCAACAGATGTTTAAAAAAAAAGAACATGCCTCCAAAATCCATTTATATCCATAGAATAAATTTAATATTTGATCATATTAACTGACGACCAATTTTTTATTTTCAGATTATTCAATTTATAGGAGTTCAATTCAATTGGTGTAAATATGTATTGCAATCATACTATGTACCACAACATTAATTCTACGAGTTATGATATGATCGATATAGTGCCAAACTAACTCTAAACAATACCTTTTGATTAACATTGCATATCCTCAATCTAATGCCCTTACATCAGATGACAAACCATAGACATGTCATCCAGGCCCTTAAAGGTAGATTTGTTTGTTGTTTAACGCCACACTCAGTAACATTCCAGCTGTATGGTGGCAGTCTCTGACTTAACCAAGTCTGGACCAGACAATCCAGTGATTAACATCATGAGCATTGATCTATGCTGTTGGTTTGTTTCTTGTTTAATGTGATATATGCTATTGGAATTCGATGACAGACAATCCAGTGATCGACAGCACAAGCATGTCATCTACGCAATTGGGATACAATGACATCTGTCAACCAAGTCAGCGAGCCTGATCACCTTATCCCGTTAGTCGCCTCTTGCGACAAGCATCGGTTGCTGAAAATCAATTCTAAACCGGATGTTAAAGGTAGATGGACACTAAGGTAGATTTAACACTGCATCCAGCAGTATTCAAGCTGACAAGCTCTGTAGGTAAGTCCAGACAAACAAATGTATGTTGTTTATGATCAATTATGTTAAGCTTAAAGTACTGTTAATGTGTTGGGTGTAATGTCTGTTTGGACAGTATTCCAGTTCTGTGGCATGTCAGCTTCATGTGAGGGAAGCCACAAGTGATGCAGATATTAGACATGTAACACTTTCATGAATCCCTTGAGCTTGATTAGGATGCTGACAAGCCTTCCTACAATCAGGCTGAACAGGGATTCAAACCCACAATCAACGTCTCTGCCCAAGGGGTGCAACACTGTTCAGTGTATTGCAGTACCTGGGAATCCATGTCCTTACAGTATTCGTAGTGAGTGAGTTTGGTTTTCTGCTGCTTTTAGCAATATTCCAGCAATATCACGGCGGGAGAACACCAGAAATGGGCTTCACACAATGTACCCATGTGGGGAATCGAACCCGGGCCTTCAGCGTGACGGGCGAACGCTTTAACCACTAGGCTACACCACCGCCCCTCACAGTATTTTGAGTGAGTTGAGGTTTGAACAGTTTTTGACCTGAAGAGGTGCTGACTTTTGCTGTTTACAACTTTGGTTATACCCACAATCAAACATGTGTCATTGACTTTGCAATATTCAAGCACCAGGAATGTGCTTTACACATTGTGCCCATGTTGGAAATCAAACCTGGGTCTTTGGCGTGATGAGTGAACACTTTAGCCACCAGGCTACCCTACCACCCTTCTAAGGCTGAACTGTCAGTACCCAATGTGACAAATCAACACAGCTTTAATCAGGTGACAAAAGGTAATTGTTCAAATGTAAATATCATCAGACACAGAATAATGGCAAATGACTCGACACTGATGACAATATAACAATAAACATTTCATGATGTATAAATAAATATATCAAGCATGTTCACCGGTATAACGGAAAGAAATACAAAATACCACACACAATATTCACAATGTTTGGTGTCTATATCAGCTGTATATGCTTCATACTGTAAGATTATGTCAAACCTGTAGCCACCATTCTGGGCTTTGGGTACATTTGAGATATAAAGATAATTCAAAATATTCATTATGAAGAGGCCCAAACAGGTACTTATTGCATTAGTATTAATTTCTACAAGAGGCTAAAACATGTACAAACCATTTTACAAAGGTCAATTGTATGAAGTGAAAAGATCTCAGCAAGACTCTGAAGGTATACCATTCATGTAAACGGATCTCTAAATTAGTGAAAAACACATGGACAAAACATAATTGAAATCACCATGTTTTATGTTCATATTAAAATATCAGCTGTCAACTGTACCTGTCTTCTAATAAGATTCTGTGGAGTTTGAGTAGGATACACAATGGTGGTACGGGACCAGGTCCCCCCAAGGGCTCAATTTTTAAATTGAGTCCTTGGGGACCTGGTCCCATAGCACCATTGTGTATACTACTGTTTGAATTAATTTTTATCAATGATTTGTACTAATTAGCATGAAAAGACAGGTTTAAACCTGCATACGTTGTACACCAAGAGAGTATATACTAGTATAGTAAGGAACAGGGCCTTGTAATGAAGTAACTTGGCATCAAGGTATGTATTGTCACTGACAGGGTCTTAGCGCGCTATATTAAAGGATGTTTGTTTTTAATTTTAAGACCTGTCAGTGGCAATATATACCTTGATGCCAGCATCTTAGCGCTTATTAAAGGACTATATTCATAATTCTAAGACCTGTCAGTGGCAATACATACCTTGATGACAGCATCTTAGCGCTTATTAAAGGACTTTATTCATAATTCTAAGACCTGTCAGTGGCAATATATATCTTGATGCCATTTACCCCGTTACAAACCCCTGTTTACTCAGGTATGTAGAATACAGGCAGAGATGCCAACCCTGAATCTCAGGAAAAAGGAGTCATGACTGGCTGAAAGCCAGGCCTGAGCACCAAAGGTGCGAGTTGGGGGTGTGAGCGCGTGGTCGGCTCTGCCATTTTGTTTCACTTTCATATGGACTATGACATGCACTGGGAAAAACTGTGTGAAACTTCATCGTCAATAACATGCAAATAAATGCAAACATCATACCATGCCCAAGCTGACAATTTCAGGTGATAAGTAACATTTTGGCATGATGGTGAATCTAGACTTTACTCATGAACTGTTGGCATTTGAGAAGGTTGGTCAACACTGAGTAATTAGCCCTTGAACTGAAACTGAGTAACGGTTTCGTGTAATCTAAGCACTCAGCAACAGCCCTGTGGAACTGATTTACTACAACCGATCTACGGAGTGCTGTACCAACTATAAACACTTTTGTAGTCCCTGCACTTTCTGTGTCAATGAGCCCATCTATAAATTAACGAAAGATACCATATTATAAGGTAATGACACAAATTCAGATTTGATCTATACTCACACCAGTGGAGAAATACAATAACAAATGTACCGGTAAACACATGACAGACATGATGAAACAGACATAACTGGATGGCGCATCTTGACTTAACATCTTTAGACTATTCGTTGTAAATGTGCCTTGATCATCTTTCTTTCTTCAGTCCATTTCTCACAGCGGAGCCATTTTCCACCTTTTCTGATTTAGGCTTGGGTTTAATGTAAGCCTTCCTGTAGAAATCAGCGAAGAGGATGAAGAAGATGACAGCGTAAGCTCCGATCCAGTATATAAATAGGATGGGGTAGTCACATTCTCTGAATAACAGCTGGGTTGAGTGGATGGTGACGGCGAAAAACTGTGTCTGAAAGAATTGTCATCAAAATAAGTTAATTATGACACAGAAACACCTAGTAGCTTGTCTCATTTAATAATACACTCAAAACAAGTTAGGGATGATGTCATGGCAGATTAAAGATAGTAATATGAAAGAAAATACAATAATAAGAAAGCATTGAGAGGTTGAGAACCGGTAGTATATCGACAGACTATTTCCCTTTCATTTTCAATTAACATCCTAATCAACAGTTCCTGAATTAATAAACAAAACATTCCCTGATTGGAGCTTTTTTAGTTTACTTATCAAGTTTAACAGATAAATGAAAGTGGTCAATTAGAGCAATATAACATTGGGACAGTTTTAAATACAAACATGACCAGTCAACCTCTCTTGATATCTTGCTCTTTAGTTGTTCAAACACACAAATATTTTAAAGACTGACTTTGACCTTGACATGAATGTCATAGTGTATAAAATATGCAAAAGTGGTACTACAGAAATTGCTTATTGCAAAACATTCAAGGGAAGTCTTGAAAATCTATGAAGAAAATCCAGTGAATTCAGGTTAACATGCTGAAATCTTCAAAGTGTCGCAGTGACCTTGAAAATTATGTAAAGATCACCAAAATTGACTGGGCCTTCATTCGATGAAGCTTGGTGTTTCTAAATGCAGAGGGGAGAGAAGCATGGTTTCAAGAGAACCAACTCTTGCAAGGACCTTCACTAGGGGAGATAGTCTGTCTCACAGTCCCTGAACCACAATATTTCCCCTACTGCCAAGCCCTCTCTACAGAGCTAAAGCCCTAAATAAAGCAAGTCTAGATTTCCTCAGGTTCAGGTTCTGAATCTCTGGTCTCCCTGGGGCTCCTTTTCAATTTAATGGGCTTGTTTGTTACTATCAAAATTATATATATTCAGAGTCTAAGCCTTAGTCTATCGGGGAGACAAACATGCTGGTGAGGACCACTTCTAGCCCTGATCTTCACTGCAGGGTTGACTTACTAGTTGCATGGTAGTCATATACTTCTTCCACCACAGGTACTTCTGGAATGCAGGCCCTAGGGCCGCCAGGAAGTAGTATGTGTACATCATAAAATGAATGAAGGAATTCAGTAGTGAGTGGAACGTCCCAAATCCTCCTGTAATATAAGAAAAACATCCATGGATTATTTAAACTGCAGGTTTTGTTAGAATGAGAACATGTTAATTATCATGTCTTATTCACTATCAGATATAGAGCTTGACACTAGTGTGTTGACCTTCGGTATCAAGTTCTGTTCCCTTCCCGTTTTCACATGAGTGACTGAGTTTAGTTTTACGCCTCTTTTAGCAATATCAGAGCAGGAGACACCAGAAAGGCGCTTCACACATTGGAACCCGGGCTACCCAACCATCCCATTTCACATGATGAATATATACTGCATATATAGCTCAAACATTCATCACATCTGTCTTTGCCCAGCTGAACCTCAGTAATGCAAGTTGTCAAAACCAAATTTTAAATAGTTTGCACATAACCAAACAAGTTTTGATCATTCCTCAAGCCACCAATCATTGATGGCGAGTACATACCAACTTCAGCATTTTGCAAAATCACTTGTCCCCCAATAACTAACTAAACCTTCAGTTTCACTGCCCAGAGAAAAACACCTCATCTTCAGAGCTGTCATCAAGCTGAACGATTTACACCAAATGTTGACTGTATCTGAAGTCCATTCTATCAAAAAATTGAGTCGCAGCTTTGAATCCATTTCATTTAGAAATACCCAAGAACACTGCTACAAAAGGACAATGATGGCTTTTATACAAAGTGACACTGACCTGGTACAAACTTGACTCCCGAACCACCACGAGATTGGCATGATGCCATGATGGAACACATGGAGGAAGGATGCCTGCTTGTACTTCTTCCTCAGGATGAAGAATATCTAGGAAATACAGAAATAACTTGAAAAAATATTATCTTAGCCATGGAGCTACAGAATAATACATCCTCATATTATCAAGGAAACTTTCTGATAACCCTGAAGATAGATCGTGCCTACATAAAATATGACACCAGGAAATCTTAAGACACACTATTTTGAATACAGAAAATACAATTAGGAGTTTATGATGTGTTTTTATATCACAGGTGGTTTTATTATTTAAAAGGAAACACCATTATCTATTGGCATTGATTGTGCAAGAATTGCAGAGCTCCTGTACCGGACTTGTTTCCCTATCGGAAATACCAAACAACCTAAAGTTTCATATTGACGAAGCTCTTCTTGGTGGCTGTACAACTCAGATATAGGCTTGAATCTGACTTTGCATATACAGTCAAATCCCGATAAGTCGAATCGCTGGGGACCAAATAATAAATTCGACTTATCGATGTATTCGAGACAAAGGTATGTCTATGAGGGTAGAAAAAAGATGATCCAGTTCTAATTCCTCCGCCTAAGCATTTGTTTATCTAATGATTTCCATATCACCAATAGGGGCACCTTATCAGTTCCATTCTGATTAGCACAGACAGTGATTTCCGTAAAATCACACATCTGCCTTTTGAACTCACCTGTCAATTGCGGAAAGGTGTGAGCTGCGCTGGTTTGTTAATTGGATCAGTTTGCTACACCAATCAACTTCTCATTGACTGACTTCGGCTTATGTATACAAGATTGCTGTTGTTTGAATCTCATGGGACCAAATTTCCTTCTCGAGTCATCGTGTGTATTTATGAGACGAATTCGTGTAACCGGAAATCAAAAGATGACAACTATAACAGGGAATGGTCGGGACTGACAGGTACTTCGAGTTATGCCTAATATTCGAGACACCGGCATTCGACTCATCAGGATTTGACTGTACATGTTGTGTTTGTAAGGTTTCACATCTGTACAATCATACGCCATGAATCTGTAATTCTGTAACTTGACTGGGATGAAATTTGCACCAGCATGCTAGCCCGGACCAGTTTTGTTAACATTAAAGATATCCCAAGGGGTTGTGGAGTTTATAACATTTGGAGCGGATGGGGAGGTTACATTCCGTCCTTGCTTGATGTGTTCGGCTGTCCATGCCCAGCAATCTCAAGTGCCCAGATACCTCTAGGTTACATCACAGTTACAGAGGGGTCAGAATACCAGGGTCCCACTGTACTTACTCTGTGGACAACAACAGCTGATATCTAGAAGTGTACTTACAGTGTCAAGAAGTTCAATAAACTTGGAGATGTAAAACATCCAGCATACTTTTGCCATCTGAAACAAATGCAACTGTCAGAGGATGTCTGAATATTGATTTATTATAGATAAATATCTGAAAAGTAACTATGAGCAAAAATTCCTCAAAATCTGAAAGAAATCAACATTTTTCACCTCACTGGTGAGAGGGGACATATTTAGGTTTGTATTATTAACATAACACCATCCTGAACATAATTTTGAAGCAGACCCTGAATAAAGACCTATCTTTGCATATTGTCTGAGTAAATTGAAACTTTATTTCATGACAATAGTTTAAGAACGATATACATGTAAATGTTAACACAATTTTCATATTGATATAATCACTAATAACTTTTCAAAGATATTTCCGATTATCGATCATTTTAGCCAGCCATACCATCTATAAACATCTGTGTGATGAAATGATGCATAAAGGATGTTGGTCAATTCGTGAAAGTGAGTGAGTGAGGGAGTAAGGTTTTACACCGCTTTTACCAATATTCCAGCAATATCACATCGGCGGACACAAGAAATGGGCTTCACACTTCGTACCCATGTAGGGAATCAAAACCGGGTCTTCAGCGTGACTAGCGGATGCTTTAACCACTAGGCTACCCCATCACCCCTAATACATCATCCTATCCTACATGATGTAACCATGACAACAACTTACCCTGACGGCTTGAGGGGAGTTAGAGTAGTCGACAGGCTGACAACCTAGGCTGTAGCCCGCCAGCCAACCTGATGCCGCAAACTGGAACAAACGGACATCATAAATTAGAGGGGGAATGGGTGCAATACTGTTTGTGGTTTTACACTGCACACAGTATATTTTAACTTATTCATAGCGGCATGTAAATAATCAAATACGAGACAGTGGTTGATAACATGAGCATCTGATCATACTGTTCAGTGAGTGAGTGAGTTCAGTTTTACACAGCTTTTAGCAATATACCAGCAATATTGGAGGTGGACACCAGCATACTGTTGAGAATGATCAAACATTCTCCTTGTCACCTATGCACAGGCTGTACCAGTAGCGTGTACTCAGTCCAGAGTCAAAGGTTGAGTTCAGCCTTTATAATAGTGCTGCAGCTCTAGTGACGCATGTCTATATGTTTCACATCTGAATCTTCCTTCTCACTGGGGCTCCTTTGGAGTTTAAAGGAAGTTGTCACTTTCAAAATCTTCTTTTCTCAAAATCTCATCGGTCTTCAGTTGTATCATGCCACAGATCTAGTTTCTAACTCAACAGGAGCCTTATCAGCGCAACGAATAAATCTAACCTTTTGGCGAAATACAGAGACATGTCTGTATGTCATGGTAACAGGGTAAGATAATTTTCTGTTATAAACTAACCTCGATGAAACAATATGCTGAGAGAATTATCATGCAGAAGTTGTAGACCAGCATGACTCTCTTCAACTCAAATGGTTTCCTGTCGCCCATCAGGTTTGGCCCCATCTTGATGACGACGAAATACATGATGCAGATGAAGAAACTGGGCCATGGAGTGGACATCATGAACCAGTCTGCAACACGCGGATCTGGAAAGCAAACGTATTCAGTATGGATGACATGTCTATGTTGTGGGCACTGTCACAGCATGTAGTCGTATGAATTTGAGTTTCAGGAGTGAGAGTGAATAGGGTTTGTATTACAGCATATCAGCCCCATGTGGGAGGGTCTCATTATACAGCCATGAATGTCTCAAACATTTACATAATCTGAGGCAAACTGGCATTCAAGCCCATTTCTGGCATGTCAAAGGCACATAACTCTTCACAGCAGATTGATTTGTCCCAGCAGGGAAAGAAACCTTTCAACACTTCCCACTTTGCAACAGGACCAGTGAGTGGACAATAATTAGTAGTCCTGTCTGTACTTAGTGGTCAAAAACAACATTTGTAGATTTACTTAACTGTCAATGCAAAATTCACTGGCCACCAGGACCAATGCAGACTTATCATTTACTGGTGCTCATGAATTTTTACTAGCAGGGACCAGAGGAACACACTTCTCAGGCCCAGATATATGCCTAACCAACGGTATATTCAATGGTTCAATGACAAGTAAATGAATAAAAGCTGAAATCTATCTACAATCAGCGTGTACTAAAACAAATAATGTCGTTATAACAAATAATACTATCAAACGTAGTGGTGTTCATATATAATCGTCCCAATCATAATTTTTCTCATATACATACTATCACTAGACAATAATTTCTTAGAAGTTGTCTGAAAACGATGTTTATTCCTTCTCATCAGACAAAGTGGCTGAATGGTTGACAACCTGCAGCAAAATTTGAAGTTCAAAATTAGACTCACCTGCTTTCAACATCATGTTGTCATAAGGACTTGACAGCTTCAGCTATCAAACTGGCCATGTTGAAATTGGCACCGCAACCCTCAGCAATGGTCAAGCCTACAAGAACACATGGACATCATGATGGGTACAGACAACACATGAGAGCATCATATGACCTGTAGATAATCCTGATGACCGGCATAGTACCACACTCACTGGCAGTGTCATGTTGACCGAGTCACCCATACCAGTACATCATTTCACACTGAAACTATCAGCATTATCAAACATCACTGTGCTTTATCAGCTGTTAACAGTAAGTCTCTGTAAGTTATTGACAGAAGACTTTTGTCAAAATCAGAAAAACCCTGCAGTTGTTATATAAACTGGTTCTCTATTATTCAACATCAAATATGCAGTCATAGATACATATAAAGAACACAAGAACCATAGTTTCTTGTGTATAAAGAGCACTGCCCCACAGCCCAAGCCCTTTTCAACTAAAATATAGATGTGCAGAGGGGTGATACTCAGACAGTGACTTTCTACATTTGCCTTCAAAAGTGAGGAGAGTGAGTGAGTGGTGAGTGAGTGAGTGAGTGAGTGAGGAGGAGTGAGTTTTGAGGTTTCACGCCACACTCAGCAATATTCCAGCTCTATGGCGCGCGGTCTGTAAATAATCCTCGACCAGACAACCCAGTGATTAAACAGCATGAGCATCGATCCAAGCATTTGGGAACCGATGACATGTGGCAACCAAGACAGCGAGCCTGACCACCCAATCCCGTTAGTCGCCTCTTACAACAAGCATGGCTTACTGAAGATCAATATTCTAACCCGACCTTCATGGGTCTTCAAAAGAGAAAACATCAACACTGGCAATTAATGCCAGAAACAACTCATCACAAAATTGGTACTGCAGTATAGCAGTTGTGCAACTATCAAATAAGAATATGGCATTATGTTCTTGTATATCCACAATATTTATCATTATTATGTCATCACATGGATGTTTTCATACTGGGCTTACATATAGGTGTCTATCATATCGACACCAGACAGGTTGTATTTGACCGAATCAATTCTAAGAGTCAACACAGCATGTGTCGAGGGCAATATGACTGAGTGAGGACTTGTGTAACAAAAAGGACCCATTTAATGATTTAATGACATATTTATCACAACCTTAACTCACATTGATTCCAAGTCGCATCAAGAGATCAGTGAAAGTACTGACTGACCGACCGAATCGACTGAGTTTGGTTTTACGCCCGCTTTTAGCAATATTCCAGCAACATCACATGCGGGGACACCAGAATGGGCTTCACACATTGTACCCATGTGGGGATTCAAACCTCGGTCTTCGCGCGGACGAGCCAACGCTTTTAACCACTAGGCTACCCGACCGCCTCAGTGAAAGTATGCAAAACAGGATCTAATCTCTAACAAAGTGTGATGAAGGCATTGTTGTATGTGAATAAAGTATTAAAACCCGCAGATCTATTAGAACATTTGTTATAAAAAAATTAAAAGTAGGACTTTTTCTTCTGGAGGACTTATTTTCCTAGGCAAAGTTAGTACTTTTTACCGGTACTTTTTTCCAAGGACCTTTTCCTAACACCTGATGAAGGTAGTGTGTCACTTGTGACTGTAATCTGACGAACAATATTGGAAAAGTTGTAATAGCTGCTACAGTCTCACGGACCCGGACAAATCTGGCATTAGCCAGCAAAACATGCATTGGTTCTCTGGTGCTTCTATATGAAGCAGGACAATTTTAGAATATATTCAGTTGGTTAATAAAACATGCTATAGGTATATGTAGGGTGACAAATGCAATCATATAAAAATTCATTTTAAACTACTAGTTTTCCTAGGTATCCTGTGACATTTTAATTAATTAATTAGTTTTACCTGGAGGAAGGTCTCCACATGAAAAGGTCATGTTACCATAGTTACATAATCAAATCATGAAGTATATTGCACCAGAGCAATCAAACTACATGTATGTAATGTGATCACGATTTCTCATAATCGAACATAAACGGTTTTGGAACTACTGTTTTAGTCTTTGAAAAACTTGACAATGGAACATATCTTAGAAGTTGTCAGGGCCTGAAAACGTGTTTAATTCTTAGAAAACTCACTTCACTAACTGAAAAGCCATGACTGAATGTTTCTCTAAGACTCAAGGAAGTTTATTTTCATGATATATTTGTCATCACCTTAAAGTAGCAAGTTGCATCATGTTATAAATATCTGCAATAACAACCTGGATAGGAAAATCTGAAAAAATGACGCTAACCAATTTTTTTCGATGATTGGTAATGAAGAAATCATCAATTGTGAGATTTCAACCAATTCCCAACACTAATCACTAGACAATAATGTCTTCATCCCTTCTCATCAGACAAAGTGTCTGAAGTTGTTGACTGCAGCAAAATTTGAAGTTCAAAATTAGACTCACCTGCTTTCAACATCATGTTGTCATAGGACTTGACAGCTTCAGCTATCAAACTGGCCATGTTGAAATTGGCACCAGCAACCCTCAGCAATGGTCAAGCCTACAAGAACACATGGACATCATGATGGGTACAGACAACACATGAGAGCATCATATGACCTGTAGATACTCCTGCTGACTGGCATAGTACTACACTCACTGTCAGTGTCATGTTGACCGAGTCACCTATACCAGTACATCATTTCACACTGAAACTATCAGCATTATCAAGCATCACTGTGCTTTATCAGCTGTTAACAGTAAGTCTCTGTAACTTATTGACAGAAGACTTTTGTCAAAATCAGAAAAAACCTGCAGTTGTTATATAAACTGGTTCTCTATTATTCAACATCAAATATGCAGTCATAGATACATATAATACATATTTTCAACTAAAATATAGATGTGAAGAGGGGGTGATACTCAGACAGACTCGATTATTTACAGACCGCCGCCATACAGCTGGAATATTGCTGAGTGTGGCGTTAAACTCAACTAACTCACTAACTGTACAATGAACGTGAGAATGAGATACAATACCATGTGTACAAGTCTATATACCCCCGGAGCCAAACAAACTCGTACCAGTACTTCAACCACACATTCAGACAGACTGGTGGACATTGAAGTTATCTCACTGTCAGAATCATATCATGCATTCACCTAGGTAAGGAGTCTGGCATTTCAGTAACAAATTAAGTGAAACATTTCTATCCCCACAGTTATTGATTGTATGTTTCGCTTCAGTTCATGCCATTGCTAGGGCATGACTATACCAGCTGCTGGTATTTCAGATGTTGCCATTAAACCCAATTAAGTATGAATAGGCCTGCACATAAGAGATGTCTGGCATGTTGAATATTTCACTGTCAGACTGTATAATGTTTTCAGCTTCAAGGCTTACGTGTCACAAAACATGGACAATGCTAATATGTTGTGATAGAGTGGATGAGTAAGTATGGCTTTACGTCACTTTTAGCAATATTCCAGCAATATCACGTTGGGGGGACACTAGAAATGGCCTTCACACATTGTACCCATGTGGGAAATCGAACCTCTGCCCCTGTTGTACTAGAATATGCTGAGACAGTTATGTAACATACCTGTGTCTAGGTATAACCTATGGTTAAGTCAACTCTCCTGCACGTCCTCGTCAACATACCCTATCAACGATCAAAGGCTACTCGATCAATATTGACTGCTTAAGTCACAGCACACCTTTACATTGTCTTATCAGAATACAACATAGGGGTTTCCCAGGACCTTACAATGAGAGTGTTTTAGTGACTTTTAAGTGATTTTGTTGTGAGTAAAACAAATTATTAGGGATAAAAATACCTGGGCTAAAGGGCCCGTTTCACAAAGCTCTCATAAACCTAATATCTCGCAACTTTTCCAGTAGCATTCATACTCCCTATGTCACAGTATAGGAGGTACGAATGTTACGACTGACTGAGTATGGTTTTACGCCGCTTTTAGCAATATTCCAGCAATATCACGTTGGGGGGACACTAGAAATGGCCTTCACACATTGTACCCATGTGGGAAATCGAACCTCTGCCCCTGTTGTACTAGAATATGCTGAGACAGTTATGTAACATACCTGTGTCTAGGTATAACCTATGGTTAAGTCAAATTGACTGCCAAGTCACAGCACACCCGCTACATTGTCTTATCAGAATACAACATAGGGGAAGGTTTCCAGGACCTTACAACGCAGAGTGTTTTAGTGACTTTTGCGATTTTACAGTGAGTAAAACAAAACATTAGGGATAAAAATATCTTTGGCTACATGGCCTGTTTCACAAAGCTCTCATAAGCCTAATATCTCAACTTTTTCAGTAGCATTCATACTCCCTATGTCACAGTGGCATAGGAGGTACCTAATGTCACTGACTGACTGAGTAGGGGTTTACGCCGCTTTTATAGCAATATTCCAGCAATATCACGGGCGTGGGGACACTAAGAAAGGTCTTCACACATTGTACCCATGTGGGAAATCAGAACCTCTGCCCCTGTTGTACTAGAATATGCCACAGTTATGTAACATACCTGTGTCTAGGGTATAACCTATGGTTAAGCTGCCCTCCCACGCCCTCGGCCAACATACCCTATCAACAACGCATCAAAGGCTACCGATCAATATTGACTGCTTAAGTCACAGCACACCTTATGCCCTAGAATGAGAGACAGTTATGTAACATACTTGTGTCTAGGTATAACCTATGGTTAAGTCAACTCTCCTGCACGTCCTCGTCAACATACCCTATCAACGATCAAAGGCTACTCGATCAATATTGACTGCTTAAGTCACAGCACACCTTTACATTGTCTTATCAGAATACAATATAGGGGTTTCCCAGGACCTTACAACGAGAGTGTTTTAGTGACTTTTAAGTGATTTTGTTGTGAGTAAAACAAAACATTAGGGATAAAAATACCTTGGCTACATGGCCTGTTTCACAAAGCTCTCATAAGCCTAATATCTCCCAACTTTTTCAGTAGCATTCATACTCCCTATGTCACAGTATAGGAGGTACGAATGTTACCACTGACTGACTGAGTAGGGGTTTACGCCACTTTTAGCAATATTCCAGCAACATCACGGCGGGGGACACGAATGTTACAAGAAAAGTTACGAGTTCTTAGGCTTACGAGAGCTTTGCGAAACAGGCCCAGATATTGTTTTAAGCCATTGTGTTTTAGTTTGTATGTTATCATTTCCTTTGGGTATTCAGTATAGTTATACATATTTGGTTGTGGTCTATTGGGTATTACGAAACCAATGTGAAGCCATTTTAGAAATAAGTCTGCTTACAATGATGTTTCATGTAACTGCTAATTTGCTTCTGATCATATGCTGCTCAAAGCACCTGTTGCATAGGCTCACAACACTGACACAGGTCTCAGTTAAATAGGAAAGAAGGCCTTTTGTGCATAATTCACTGCAGTGGAGTTCACAAACAGGAAATACCTGCCATCAATAGCAAAAACTGATGTGAAAAGATACTGGGTACTCAATGATATTTGGAGTAATTATTACAGCTAGAAACAAATACACTATGACAGGGTATGAAACTCCCAAACATTTCAGCCAGACCACAGTGCTGATTAGATGTAAAACTTGCCAGCCCTGACCAAAACTTTCCTCCCCACAAAATATCTTCATATACATGTCTAAACGTTAACCCGACCATCGGACAAGTGAATTTGAGAATCTGGCAGTCCGTGTTGAAAATAACCCGTCCAGGCGGTCGGGCAGCCAGGTATTTCGAAGGCTGCACTATGAGGTGAATATACGATATGGACTGTTTCAGTTGGGTTGTTGTTCAACGCCACACTCAGCAATATTCCAGCTATATGGCAGTACTGTATAACAAAAACAATAACATGTCAGCAATTGCTGCCTCATTCATTATATTCCGTGAAATAATAACAAAATATATTATTTGAAATGTTTTGACCATGTTGACAGTGGTAATTGATCACAACAATGAGCACAGTACAGTCAAACTGCATATACCAGAGTGTAGGCATTTATACTGCCTGGCTGGGACATATTGTATTTTGTACTTACTGTGTTGATGAAGACCACGCAAATACAGTAAAAACACTCCTTTTAAAATTATTCATGAATATTTGATTCTAGAGATCCTGAATAACAAATTGAATTCATGAAGTGATACAGTTTCATGCACCACAGTTTGTGAGTGAATCCTAACAGCCCTACCCAGATAGCATTCGGACGTTGGGTACAGCGTCTGAATGCTATCTGAAATCCTAATAGCCCTAGTATTTAAGCGGTTATATATTGAATATTAAAAAAGAAAACTCACTTGCATTTGTAATTTGTATGCCACTAGCTACAAATTGATTGGGTTAAAGGGTTTACTGCTGTATACTTTACAGACATACGCATCTATGTTTGGCACTCTAAACATATTACATTACAGGGCTCCAGATAATTTTTCAACATCAGGAGTATGTACTCCTTATTTTTAAATATAGGAGTACTGGAAAAACTTAAGAGTACATTTAGAGTACCGAAGGAATTTAATGGAGTATCAGTGATCTTGTGTTTCGTTTCATATATGCACCACAACATTGCTACTCGTGTAAACAGGTAAAAAACCAATACTTTTTCAGATAAATATGACTGTAAATGATTCTAAGACCGTACACCATTGATGTGGTGTGTATCTGCTACGTTTTCTAAATTATTTCCTACTGTATTGTGCATATTTTTTATCCGTACATACGCTGATACGGCCCTTATCAGTATCTAGAGTCCTGACATTACATCAATTACTTTACTACTAACCTTACAGATTTTGGTAATAAACTAGATATCCATGTAATACTACATCATTATTACGAGGTATTTATACAAATATATGAAGAAATTTCACATGCATCATCTGTCAGGATACTTCTTTGACACATGGGATGATCAGGAATTTTATTATAATTTATATATGAACAGTTTATATCAGATGCATCAGATATCAGCGATTCACCTCAAATGCATCAGATATTAGTGTTTCACCTTAGACGTATCAGCAAGTGAGTGAGTTTAGTTTTACGCCGCACTCAGCAATATTCCAGCTATATGGTGGCAGTCTGTAAATAATTGAGTCTGGACCTGACAATCCAGTGATCATCGATCTGCGCATTTCGAAACCGAAGACATTTGTCAACCAAGTCAGCGAGCCTGACCACCCGATCCCGTTAGTCGCCTCTTACGACAAGCACAGTTGCTGAAGACCTATTCTACCCCGGATCTTCACGGGTCTTAGACGTATCAGATATCAGCGATTCACCTCAGATGCATCAAATATCAGCGATTCCCCTTAGATGCATGAGATATCAGCGATTCACCTTAGATGCATGAGATATCATCAATTCACCTTAGATGCATCAGATATCATCGATTCCCTTAGATGCATCAGATATCATCGATTCCCTTAGATGCATCAGATATTATATTTATCTTAGATGCACCAAATATCTTAGATTTATCATATTTGAATCTATTTCAGACACATCAGATATCAACAGTTTAGCCTTGTGGTAAAAGCCTTCGCTCGTCATGCTGAAGACACAGGTTCGATTCAACACACCCATACAATGTGTAAAGCCCATTTCAAGTGTCCCCTGCTGTGATATTGTTGGCATATTGCTAAAAGCAGCGTAAAATCTCATTCACTTTCTCAACGCGATGAGGGCGTGATGAAACACAATGAGCCCAGCCACAAGGTGTGCCCACCAGATCCCCTCTTTGGGCTAAACACAATCAGCAAGGGCACACACTGTTGCAACACAGCTGTCTCTCATGACAAGCACGAGCTACTACGGAAGTATTCTGACTATCAATCTGAGGATAGGATCTCATTTTTGTCACTAGTCACAATATGTATACAAGTCATTCTAAAAATTCGTGCATATTTCATGTAGGCAAAAATTGTAAATTTTGTTTCCCTGTTTTAACTTGAAATGTTGTTCATTACATTCATAGTGTTCTGAATATACAAAACATTGCTTAAACAAGGGTCAACAAGCCAAACAATTCCTTTCTTTTCTGATTTGCAAATATAAAGTAATATGTAGCAAAAAATTCAAAATGATAATATGAATTATATTATGCTTACTTGAAGCTCTACTATCAAACATACTTGCACTACAAATTCCAGACATAAACAGATAAATCAATTTTAATTAAATAAGGAAAATGATAATGTTATGGCATGGACATTGGCATTAATTGTTACGGTAGTGACACAATAACGGTAGTGACATTTTTATTAATAGCCAGTTTTGTATGTTTACTTTAAAAGATCATTTGAATAAATTTGTCAGTCAGATATTTCAGAATGTTTGAAGAATATGTCATAGGCAAAAGATTTACTTAGACGTCCCTGTCATGTGAAAAACAGGTACAGACTGCATGTTACGGCAGTGACATTGTGACGGTATATAATGTCACTACCGTAACGGCCCTATCACAGCCGTTTTCTTCTTTATCACAGCCGTTACACTACCCTGTCCTTACCGTAACAACAAATTTATACTTATAAGCTTATTGATTTTATTCATTTGATGCAAAAGTTCCATGTTAAATAAGATTCCAAAACATTTGATATCTTTGAATTGAAAATTTGTTTGGCTTCACAAAATTAACTTGTTTCAGCGGTAACCACCGTAACGGTTAGGACATGCAAAAATCTCAGATATCATTTTGTACACACATTTTTGGCGATAAAATTTTAAAAAATGAATTGTTTGTGTCAGTGTTTGACAGCCATGTTTCCTCACTGCCACTGCTTGCAAATTTGAAGTAGAATCAGAAGACAGTACAGGGAGTAATCATTATTGCAATTTTTGGGATGATGTTACGGAAGTGACATCAAACCTTGTGACAAAGTTTGACATTTTTTTAATAAAATAATTTTCTATACAAAAAAAGCCAAACCATGCCAAGCATGTTGCTGTAACATCATTAATTATGATATGTTAAATAATTTCTTTTGAAAACACGAAAAAGACCAAAAAAAAATCAAATTACACATCGGCCACTGGAGTTGTGACACATGAAAATTGAGTAAAATTGGATGGTTTTGGGGTTTTAAAATAAATATAAAAGTATTTTTTCCCCAAGTTTGTTACTCTAAAGTGTAGAATAAACTGAGATAAATTGGTTACCTTAAAAATATTACTGATTTTGACTTAAGTTTGTCGGGTACAAACATATAACATAAATATGCACAAATTTTGAGAATGACTCATTATATACATGTTATAAACGATAAAGTAAAACATTAGAAATATTTGTAATTCATACTATCTCTGACACAATTGACATTTTCAAGTCCAGACTTAAAACCCACCTTTTCTCAGTATATTATGTATAACTTCATCTGTAAATACTCCAGTGTAAATATTTTGTAGCGCTTTGAGCATGCCTTAGAGTGTGGAAGGGGAGCATTATAAATATGCATTTATTTATTATTATTATTATTATCTGTTTCGGTTTGTTGTTTTACACAATCTGCAGGTGAGTTTGCCGTCTTGCTGACTTAGGCTGTAATTTCTCGGCTCAATCATAACGCCATCAGTGGCTGTAACAATATATTTTCCTTTCATGTCCTCCCTCTTAGTCTTATATTCAGATTCCATTTCTCATATCCCATGCATTTGTTTTGAACAAATGGGGGCACCAAGTCATGATAAACTGTTCAAGTTAACTGAAGAAGCATTTCACACCAAGGTACAGATAAACTGCGCATCTGCGTAAATTACACCAATATTTATGTGAAAACTCAATTTCTATTAAGTCTACTGCGTACCAGTACACTTATATTTTTGTAAATGCTCAATAAATTTGATCTTACATGTATGCGTACAAAAATGTCAAATCTTATCTTGTGTACTGGTGAATTAGTTTGTCACCAAACCTTCTTCAGTTTTTGAGCAAGCAGACCCATGTGCTACAGAGGTGACTGAGGTTAGATAAAATAACTGAGGTATATTGAGAGGTTCTATTTCCGCACTTAAACTTTGCAACTTCCAATCTTTCTTACCGTCATCATATTCATTACATTTGGTGCATCAAGTAAACTCATAAATCAAAACATCAGAAAAAGAAATAACTGGTCCCTAACTTGCATACTTCAATATTTAGTAACGAAAGTAGAGCATATGGACAAATGCCATTTCTTAGCACTATTTAATGCATTGTTTACACGAAGATGTTAATGACTTTGGATGCTGTTAAAGGACACTCCTGCATACTTGAGTTATCCATTGGATAATATCTGACAGTCAAGAGAGGTGGGGTATTTCACATGAAATCACATACTGTTTTTAACACTTATGATTCCAGAGACGAAGGATGAATGTCTTTTGGTAAGAGTTCCGCCCCTAACCCCTACTTGAAATGTATTCTATTTATTAGGATTGCTTCGAGGGTTTAGGTTTAGGATTAGGTCTTAGGCATAAAATGATTACAAAAAAATTGGGAGATTACGGGCCGAAATCTTTACTGTCTTTTTTTATAGTTTAGTAAGGGACCATTCATAATTTATGGCTAGGGGGGTTGATGATTTTTTTGGAGAAGCATGTACAATGTGAATGACCCCCCCTAATATTTATGTACAAAATAAGTGACCCCCCTGCATGTCATGTACAAAATCAGTGACCCCCAATCCCTCCCTTCCCATAATTTCTAAGTATAATTTAAAGCATAATTTTATGTACAAAATTGCTGAACACCCCACCCACCCAGTACGTGTGTACAAAATTGCTGACCCCCCCTAGCTCCCCAGAACATGATGGGTGACCCCCCTTAAAATCATCATCACCCCTAGCCATAAATTATGAACGGTCCACATGGGTATGTGCATAGCACTGATGTTGGAACACAAAGCAGTTATCACATATCTGGTTACCATGTCAACGACAAATAGGTTAAATTATATATCTTCTAAACTGTCGTTATTATAGAAAGTAACTGATATTGAAAAATTGATCTTCCCGCTTTGGCCTTTCGATGTAGGCCAATGTCTGTACGAGTAGACGGTGTGTTTGTATATTTTGGAGATCTCTTGGGTTACAAGAAAATGGAATTTTGTGTTCGACCTTCAATACCAAGATGCGTCAGAACATGTCTTAATCAGGAAATCGACCTTTGCTGTGCACGGTGTCTGAACTATCACTGCTCAGGCAATATATACACCGGGAGACGGGGCTATCGTCATGGCATTCAAGTCAACGTGCTTCTTCGTGGGGAAGCCTTCAACGAAAATTCATTATTGTTTACTGTTCATTTATCATGGTGACAACTCCAGCATGTAGGGAAATAATACTAGGGTTGGAACACTTACCAAATCCTGATCAAAATTTACAAAAAGTCTCAGCGACAGGAATTTGCACCTCAGGTTATCTCAATGGGCTGGGCAGATATTCTCCCCCTCACGACCGGCTTGATACTGCGCATGCGCGTGCAGATTAGACTTGACTATCGTTACTGGCTCACGGTGGACCTTGTTGAATGGTCTGATTGACCGCCCCCCAATGGGTTAATGTTTGTTTTGTATGCAGTACCACTAACAACGGTAATGACCCACGACAGCGTCGGTCAGCGGTGAATGTCCGCTGAAGGACCGGGCGAGAAATGCACGGTTTACATTCCGCTGAAGGACCGGGCGAGAAATGCACGGTTTAGTACATTGTTACGGTTGAAGTGACGTGTGGTCGATTATCGAAAAATATTAATGCATGGATGGTTTATAAAAATATTTACCGTATACATTTAGTTATCGTATACATATATATATCTCCCAGTTACAGCATCGAAACGTCATGAATGCATGTTTTCCTTGGGACAGTAATTATTTTGAATCCTTGATGACGATATGCGTTTATCATACGTCATGCTTTAAATCCCAATATCACCCATCAGATATTGTAGGCATGTGAACGAATATACAATCATATTGAAAAATTCTAAATATGAAAGACACGATTTAAAGATAAACTTCAAGCCCATGGTTTTACTTGGCAACAGTAAATAGATATTATATTTGAACCGTTTAATGAATGTGTGAAACAATTTTGGTTTGACACAATCCATCTGTATATGTTGCCACAGGGGCGTGTCAATGCATCATTCTAAGCGGGCGGTCACGATCCTGACTTTGAAAACAATTAAAAAAGTTTCTCTCAACAATAATAATTATTGTAAAAAGCTATTCATCTGACAATGGCTTCATTCATTTGATTTTTTAATTGATGTTTTTATTTTATAAAATATCTCTCTACCTGGCGTACATATATGAGCCGTGTCTTCGGTATTAATCCAAATTGTATGTTACTATCATCTCTGTCTCTCGGAGATAAGAAGCTTTTAATTAGTTTGTCCCTCAGAGCCTAGAAAATAAATTAAATAGGAGTCCAATTCTATTGCTGAATTGCCTAGACTGCCTCAGCTCTTTTCTGCATTTCTCCATTTGAAATATCTTCTGTTTTGTTGATAACTATATATTTCTGAGACGACGTCGACATACCAGTATACTATTGAATATTTGCGCGATCGTATTATGTTGGTTGATTTAATGGCCGCATCACTGAATACCGTTGTGACGTGAAGTGAAAGATGCGGTCGTTAAATATCCACACTTTGTTGACTGACTGACTGAGTTTGGTTTTACGCCGCTTTTAGCATTATTCCAGAAACATCACGGCGGGGGGACACCAGAAATGGGCTTCACACATTGTGCCCATGTGGCGATTCGAACCCGGGTCTTCGGCGTGACGAGCCAACGCTTTAACCATTAGGCTACCCCACTGCCCCCACACTCTGTTGAAATAAGATTGAAGACATTTTGAACAGCGCACGTGTTTACGAGACTCACGTGTCGGCAAGGTTGTCAAGGACGAGGAATTTGTTGAACCAGTATACAGCATGTTTATCATTACGTTGTCGGAGCGATCAGGCTCTGAATGACGGAAGCCATTATGTTTAACAAAATACCATATAATAATTGGTGATCGAAACAGAGACCATATAATAGATCTATTATATGATTTCTGATTGAAAGCAACATATAAACACCAATATGAGTGAGATGCCAAAATTGAAATGTAAGACCCTAAAAATAGCTGTCCAATCAAATTCTGTTCATGTGCGAAATACAATCAGTGCTAAGTTACTGATTGTTACGTCATTTCCCAAACGAATCTATAGATGTGAATAGGTCAAGGTCATACAATCAATACAATGGATGTTAATACAATGAATGAACTAGAATGAGCCCGATATCGCATGGTCGATTTCTACAACACCAAAATGGGAAAGGAGACAAAATGGTTTTCACACAAAAGGAGAAATAGGAAACATGGGGACAGGTGATTTGGGGAACTGCACTTCGCTAATGGTGATGAATACTGGACAATGCCGGTGGGGGTCGCTATAGAAATTCCCGCTCATCATTGTAGCTTTAAGTCATGCTGAGGTGCTAGTCCCCCCACCCCCTGTTGTTCCACTGTATTCAGTGAAACCGTCCACAGGAAGTGACATTACGTCACATGCCAAATCGCAAGATTACTTCATTCATTGTTGATGACATCACAGACGAGTTTATGTGACGACATTCTGCCAACTACAGTTTGACTGAGTTGTCTTCACTTATTATCAGAACACCCACATTTTGTTCTACATTTTCATAAAATAACTTACTTGCTTGTCTTTGAATAAATTCTTTCGGAACATACAATCACCAACGCCATCTACATAATCTCAGTATATTCTAGGTAGAGTCATGGCTATTATTTTCTCATTGTTGTCTCATTTGAGAGCAATATTTCAGTCTTGGCGCATATTGTTTTTCTTCATTGTTTGATTCTAGAAGTTGGTGAATCAATAATGAAGCATACGACTGTATGGATAACAACTTCTTGTTTATTGCATAGAGCGACGTGTCAGTTAAGTGTAGATTCTTACACTTCTCTTGATGCAGGTGTAAGAATCTTCACCGAAACCGCAAAACGTCGCTCTATGCTATAAACAAGAAGATGATAGCGAGTCGTAGGCTTCAATATTGTTTTCTTGTTTAACAGTTTTCGGAGTTGCCGATGTGCGAGTTCATTGTCGCAGGTAAGTATTTATGCCATCACATATTTTACGTTTCTCAATTCCAACGCGTTGAGTCGGTTTATTATCTCCCTTTAGTCAGCCTGCCAGAATGATGTTCGACCCTGGAGCGGGGAAATTAATTAAAAAAAATATCCATAGCGTGAAACAGGAACCCTGTTTAGCGAGGTCTACTCAGAAAGGAATGCTTTGATCACACATGGACACACATGGTCTTGTGTATCTCCAAACTTGAATACATAATATGCCAACCATCACCAATATTACTCGTTATTTATCTACAAGGTAAATGTGGCCATCACATATGTCTTAATATGGATGGATCGAGAGATGGACCTTTCCATCAAGCTGATTACAAAAGTGTACAACCAACTACACATGCATGCTTTCATCTTTTCGAAACTAATATAAACAATATATAAAACTGCATTAATAGGTGGTCGAGGATACCCCGTATGTGTGATTATAATGTTACGCCGCCTTTAGCAATTAGCAATATTCAAGTTACGTATGGGAATGGTCTTCCCATGTTGTACCCATCTACGGCAACGGGTCCGAGTCTTCGACTTGACGGGGCGCTTGGGTAGCTTGTTGGGTAAGCGTTTGCTCGTCACGCCGAAGACCCAGGTTCGATTCCCCACAAGGGTACAATGTGTGAAAGCCCATTTCTGGTGTCCCCCGCTGGAAATTGCAGGAATATTGCTAAAATCGGCGTAAAACCATACTCACTCACTCACTTCTACTTGACGAACTATCGCCCTTTCCATATGGAGAAGTCCATATATGCGATCTGAAATAGTTTTCTTTTTACTGTTCAAATATTTACAAATGTAACACTAACATGTGATATGGTATTGCTTGGACAAACAAAACCCCGTTAATTAACACGACTTGTATTAACATATATGGTGCTACATATATATTCCTATTATTATATTAATACCTCCACGAGTGTTTACCCCCGACCTATTATAATTACACCCCCTGACGTAGGGGGAACATCATTACTGGCACCAGGGAGTCTATATAGTCTTTGTATAGCCACCCTGCTGGTACATATAGCTAGAGGAGCTTCGCTAATCAGGCCAATGCCGGACAGCGTGTTCTCGTGGAGGAAGGAATACATATTTGGAAATGCCTCACTTTCATCCTTACCGCAGCCTGTAGACAAATGTTCCGTTTGGATGGCGCCTTTGGCTGTGTAAATGCCAAATGGGTAAGAAACTAGCGCAGTTACACATGATATAGTTCTCACCTGGGTTTGGGGACACGATGCGGGACAGATATACACAGTGGTTTTACGCCAGTTAGAAATGACCCTGGAACACACTAAGTTTCCATCGATTATTATCGATGTTCCAAATTTGTAGTCATCGTTTCGTGATGGGTTTGGTTATGTCATCAGTACCACTGAAAAGGGATTCAGGGCCACCCAATTATTACTTACTAATGTCTCAGATTTGTTGTCATGGTTTCGTGGATGGTTTTGGCTACGTCATCAGTTCCACTGAAAATAGATTCAGGGCCACCCTTCTTTCTTGCTACTATTGTTAATCTCATACTTATAATTATAACAATATGAAAGAATCGGATGAGTTTAAATCTTTGATTATCTATACACACTGCCTTTCTGAAAGTTGTCATATGTAACAAATGTTTTATTTGGGATTATCCTTTCTCAGTAAGGTACAAATTCTAGTATGTTTTGGATTGTGTCCTCCCGCATTCGTTTGGGAGCGGTGGGGAAGCCCAGTGGTTGAAACGTTCGCTCGTCTCTCCGAAGACCCGGGGTTCGATTCCCAATATGGGTACAATGTGTGAAGCCCATTTCTTGTGTACCCCGCCGTGATATTGCTGGAATATTGCTAAAAGCGGTGTAAAACTAAACTCACTCGCCCACGTATTCGTTTGAGAAGTATATGTACTGAACAATAAGAGTTAACGGTACGTGCTCATAGCAAAACATTAGCTTTTATCTAGAAACAAAATATGTATTTTTTTCGCATTGCCAAATATATAATAATAGTAAACATGATAATTATACTAATAGGAGAGGAAGACAGAACTCAAGTGTAATGTCGTCTGGTAACCAGACTCCGGACATGGTAACAGATGAAAATGTATATTTACAATAATTATTAGGTTATGTCCCCGCTAGGTTGGTTACAGCACGGAACCGACCAAACGTTAAATGGAGGAATGGGACATGTCATTCAGACCCGAGGGACCGTGGTTCCGGGCTTTGGTTAAGTGTTCTAGCTTCCACTATTCTAACCGCACCCAAAGGGACATTTTCGACAAACATGTCATGTCGAGTTGCGATGAACTTTGAGTAATTGTTTTTCACGTAAGCAA